GGGATAAATCAAATTGATGAACTTGGAGAAGAATGCCTGGAAGAGAGTGAAAAAGCGATATGACCCCGCTATATATGAGAAAGGAAGGTGGTGCAGGCTTCAACAGGCCATTATTTATGCACTTTTTAATTCCCATGCTGGACCCCTTAATGCCAATTGTTGCCAAAAAGTTCACGCTTGGTTTTGTTCCTTCTATTTTRTTTTTTAAATCTTTTTAAATCTTGGATCTCTCATGCTTTATTTGATGATGCAGGAGATCTCATCATTASSTGCTATAGCCTCRCAGAAGTTGTAAGCTTTGTGCATCYATACATGAGGAGTAAATTTGCTTGCTCTTTATTATGTTGGACATTTATTGGTCCAGTGGTGTTTGTACATATGTTTATATGTGTATATGCACACATGTATGTATATGTAAACCCAGAGAGAGAGAAGTTGTGGATGCCYCACCCCTGGAAGTGTTCAAWGCCTTGGAGCAATCTGATCTAGTGGGTGGCATCCCTGCTCATGAGGAGTGGGCTGAAACCAGCTGATCTTTAAGGTYCTTTCCAAAACAAGCCTTTCTGTAACTCTATAAACTTATACGTGTGTGTGTATATATAAATCCAGCACAGACCAGGAAATTTAAAATAATCGTTATTTCAGTTATGGCAATGGGTGACCCCCAGTCTCCTCTGTATGCTACACTTAGCACAGTTTATCAGCCAGAAAGGTGCATTACTCTTAAAGGTTTTTAATCTTTTTTTTTCCCTACAACCTCTAAGGGTATTTTGGGGTTGCAGACCCCTCTATAGGGAGGTCTCTCTTATTTAACCTCTACTCCCCAGCTGCTTCTTGCAGAGCATTTGATGGCCCAAAGGACCTATGGGATGTAGTGGAAAAACCCGTGCTGGTCTTGTGTACACGGGTGGGCAGCACTTGGGCTCCCCCAGCGCCAGGACCCCATCCTGGGGGTTGTTTCTAAAGTCAGGAGATTTGCAGATCCTGCTGTTTTCCTGCTGTTGCCCCCATTACAGCCTGAAGCTCTCAGTCTGTGGAAGAAGCTCATTAAAACACAGCATGAGTGAAAAGGCAGGGACAGGAGCTTKCAGTGAGGACTTGCTGTGAGGCTGAGGCTGCACTTGATGCTCTTTGAACATTTCTTCCAGTGGCTTTTTGTTTTTTTCTGGCTTTGCTTTCAGGAGGTGGCTACAAACCAGAGAGGTGGTGGCATCTCCCTCCTTGGAGATTCTCAAAAAGCCATCTGTACATGGCTCTGGGCAGAGGCTCTGGTGGTTCTGCTTGACCAGGGGGTTGGACCAGAAGGCTCCTCATAGCTCTGAGCTGCCAACCTGGGGTGGTGCAGACCATGGGAACAYCATCCCTGAGTGCTGCTGTGTGTCCTCCACTTGTTTGGCACGTGGACTTGTGCTCCTGAGCTGAGCCACACATTTCTTAGGTAACTTTAGGACAACAGTGTGAGATGTCACATTCAGAGGAGCTCAGAGAGAGAGGGGGAGGTTTGCTTGGCTGGGTTGGAGAGCCATCAGCAGAGCAAATGGCACAGAAATGTTGTGCCTCCTAGAAAAAGCAAAACACACACTGAGAATCAAAGCTTCCCTRTGAGGKTTTTTYTTTTTTTTTWAACCACATTCAAATGAAGATTTAATGTGGAAACATGTTTCCTGATGTAAAGGTGAATAGTTTAGCTGTACAGGATAAATATTTAAGAGTAGCRTATCTCTTTCCAGTAAAAACACTCCGGGCAGAGACTTCCTTTTGGTACTAAAATGAGGCCGTTATTTTATGTGCCACTGACCTGATTCCAAAGAAGTATTACAGTAGTGAAGTTGGCAGCTCCTGACATGGGAGGGGTCAGGTGGAAGGGGCAGAGCTGTGGAAAGTGAGGCTGAAATGAGGGGTGAAGGCTGTGAGGGTGATGGACCCCAACCCACCAATTGTCTTCTCACTCCTCCACAGCTGCCAGCATTGCATGCTGTAGTGGATTGCAAACGGCCCATAAAATGAATTGCCAGCTAGAATCACCTAATTATYGAGCTCGTGATTATTAATTGAGGGCCCATATGGGTTGGAGTTTCTGCACGGTTTCTCTGCCGCGTTGCGACTGCAGTCGATTGTTAAGGGCTGTGTGGGAGCTGCATTGCTACAGTGGGCTGTGAGCCCACAAAAAACAGCTGATGTTCCTGGCTTTTCTTGATCTTTTGGAGTTGGAAAGGGCATTTTCTGAGCAGCCTGTGCTGAGATACACATCAGTGAGCGTAAGCAAAGGGCTGGAGGTGGCTGCAGGAATCCCCATTCATGTAAAACCAGCAAAGACCTGACTCTTCACAGCTGAGTCACTGTTATGGCTCTGAATAACAGTCATTAGTCACTCGTTGATTATGAGGATTTTCATATTCACTGGGTGCCACACAGTATTTATTTAAACACCTCTCCCAAGCATCYTGCAAGATATCATTAGGTAGGTGTTGCTGAGTGATGCAGGGCTGCGATGACTGAACATGTTAGAGCTGTGGCACAATGAAATGTGCTGTGTGAGACTCAGAAGTGTTTCTGCACCTTTTTTGGATGTGTTTGCACGTTGTCATGTGCCAGCACCTAATATGTTCCTCTGCTTTGTCCCTTCTTGCTCCTGCTGAGGCTTCAGCTCTGTTAAGATTTTTTTTCTTGGTTAATAAATCTTTGCATTTGCACAAATTGTCTTTTTAGGGTATGGGTATTTTGAAAGTTTCAGTAAATATTTTCCTAAGTACCTAAGTGCAGATGTGCATGGCTGATGCTTTCATGCCTGGTTAGCAGATTGACATGGTCAGAAAGTGGAGTTACAGTGGAAGCATTTTCCTGTGCTCTCTCAAACCCTCTCCACGGAGATGAATACTCATCAAGAGACCCTTGTCCCCTCCCACACTCCCAGATTTACTTTTCCAATGAGCTGAATTTCAGTTGGGTCCCTGTGTAGGTGTCATCCTCTTGGTCACCTTTAGATGTGCAGGAAAGTGTTCAAGGCCAGGTTKWWTGRSACCCTGAGMAMCCTGCTCTAGTGGGTGGGGGATGTTGGAACTAGATGATCTTTGAGGTCTCTCCCAACYCAAACCAYCCTGTGATTCTGTGAACTGGGGCTGAAGCAGAGCTTGGGTGTTTGACTGGCTCATAGCCTGAGGAGACAAAGGTGAAGTGCAGTTTTGATTCTGAAGCATGGAAGGGTGACAAGACTTGCCCAAGGCTGGGGTTGCTTGATATGAATSTCTGACCTCCCAAATTGTAAGGATGTGGGAGTGTTTGAAAATGGCACTCACTGGAGCAGTCCCTGCCCAGGTTCTCCTCCCTGGATGCAGGAGGATGAGACGTCTCGCACTGGGCTCAGGCTTTCTCAGTCCTCTCTTTTTCCCCAGTCTCTGCTGTAGCAGCATGGTTTTTTCTGTTGTAAGGGTGTCCAAGTCTGCTTCCAGAACTCCACCAGCTCTGTGCAGTACAATGGTTTGAAGATTTGGGGTAAAAAAGTCAGGGAAGAGGCAAACCCTCCTCCAKGAATACATAATAGAAAAAGCTCCAYGACACCTTTCGTTTTRAGGAGTAATTTCATCAAGGAGGGAAATCCATACCTGCAGTGGATATATTAACCYTTCTGAGATGTTTGGGACAGTCAGCAGCTCTCTGTCACTCGCTGTTGTGCTGAAGGGCCCCTGAGTTTGGGTTACAAGAGAGGTGAAGGCGCCCTTCCTTGGCTTCTGGGTRCAATGTGAGCTTGAATTAGATCAGCTGAATTTCCTGGTGGCCTATGGGCTTGCTGATGCAGGCACCCATCTTTTCCCAAAGGCTTCTTGCTCAGCCTTCCCTAAATGGGGCTTTGATTGGGGTACAGGAGCTGCCAGCTTTAGYTGATAAATGTTATTGTTCAGGCATTAAAGTTTTTAACAGTGGTCTCCATGTGGGTTTTTTTTTTAGTTGCTGGAATTAAGTCTGTAATTTTTAATGGAGATCCTCTTACTTAAATCCACTGTCTGGGTGGGATGAGTTGTCTGGARGCCATGGCAGGGCTTTCCTGTGATTTTCTGCAGCCCCTCCAGTCTCTCACTGCTGTCCTGAAACCCCTCYAGCGTGGGGATTGTCATCAGTGGTGATGATTTTGAGAGACGCCCATGGTTCTAAGATCAATGTTGGCTTTAGCAACGAGCCTCCCAGCCCTGCCAGAATGTTTTATTTAGTTCTCTCATAAAAGCTTTGACCTACATCTAGCACCAGGAAGCGATGAGGCTTTGATAATACTCGGGCATCCCGGCGGAGGGCACGCTGCTAACTGAGCTTCCAAGTCAAAAATGGATGTGTACTTTAAAAACATCAGATAAACCAATAAAGGCTTCAGTCAGTAAACAGCTTTATCTCTGCCAGGCAGTACGTGATCCAGTTTTGATGGAGAGGATGTACCTCTTTATGAACTGTAGGTATTAGGAAAAGAGCTTTCTATTTTTAGCTGTAGGAAAACAAMGCAAAAGCCAAAACACCTACGGTTTTTGATGCTGTGAGGGTGTCAGCGATGGAAATGGGCTGGACCACTGGGCTGGGGTGAGGTGCTCCAGTGAAGCAGTGATGGTAAAAAAGAAAGGTCCTGTTTGAATTTTTCTTTGCTTTATGTGTGTCTTCTTAGATGAGGTTGCTCACCTGAAGCTGTCAGTGTGAGTCTTGTGGGCAGCTGTAATAGCTTTGTGGAGTCCTTTCCAAAACACTTGCAGCCTTTAAAAGCAATGAAGGCAGTGTCTGGGAGGAACAAGGCAGTGAAGTTTGCAGCCCAGGGTCAGGGGAGGTCAGCAAGAGCAGGATGAGAATTGGCATCATTRCCCTGAGAAATGGGGAGTCCAGGGATTATGCTGTGGGGTCGCTGCTGCACCCCAATGTGGTGTGGCCCCACATTGATTTACACTGCTTGTCTGGGGTTTGTATCAGTGCCATCACCCCTCTGTGTACTCATGTCTCATGTTTTGTGTTTCTTTTCCCCTTYCCAGGATGAACTTGACCTCACGGACAAGCACAGAGAGGCCATGTTTGCGCTGCCAGCGGAGAAGAAGTGGCAGATCTACTGCAGCAAGAAAAAAGTAAGAGACTTTAGGTGCTGAGCTTCTTCCCTCTCATGCAGGGTGGGGAAGAGATGTGGACAAGGACAGCTCTCTTGGGATTCTAGGTGGTATTTGGGATATCTGTTCTCACCATCTCCTTAGAGCCTCTCCCAATACCCAAAGGGGGCTGATAAAAAGATTGGGATGAACTTTACAGTAGGGGCTGTTGCAGTAGGACAAGGGTAATGATTTTAAATAGAAAGTTTATTTAGTTTTGATGAAAGGAAGAAGGTTTTTACATTGAGGGTGTTGAAACACTGGCACAAGTTGCCCAGAGAAGCTGTGGATGCCCTGTCCCTGGAMGTGTTCAGGGTCAGRACAACTTGGTCTGGGGACAAATGTCCCTGCTGACAGCAGAGGCATTGGAACCAGCTGATCTTTAAGATCCCTGTCAACCCAAACCATTGCAGAGTTCTGTGATTCTGCTCCCAGATTTGCCCCTGTGCCCCTCACCTGGCTGCAGGAGGTGGCTGGGCAGTGCTGGCACTCGCTGGCCCCACTCGAGGGGCACTCGCTGCTGTTAATGCCTCTTTTCTCCTGCTCTAGCAATGGCACCAGATTTTCCATCCGCATTTTAGGCCAAGAGCAGGCTTACCTTGCTCATGTAGGATTAAGTTTTAAGCCTCTCATAAATACCCCTGAAATCCCTGCATTATTGTTAGACAGAGGCCTGCCATGCCCGAGATTTAAATCGGAGGGGAGAAGGGATGTTAACAAATTACAGGCACTGGTCTGGATCAACAAGGAAATGGGCAGGGGATGCTYGCTCCTCACTGCCTGGTGGATAAGCAAAGCCTTGCTCTGGTGTGTCTGGATAATGGCAGAGTTAAATCAAGCAAAGCCRTGTAATTATTATTGTGAGTGGAGATTACGTGCTATCTAATCTCCCCAGGAAGGGTTTAGATGGAGCTGATGGTGGCTCTTTCCCTTTCCAGAGCCTCCTTCCTCTCATGGTTTTTTAAAGGCTGTGCTGTGAAGCTCCTTGCTCAGGGGGGGAAGGAGCCATGGAAGTGTCTGTGGTATGCTCAGAGGTTCTGGGAGCAGGGACCCATCTGAGGCTGGATCCTGGCTGATCTGGTGGTCTCCTCTGATCCTTATTCCTCATTCCCAGCCACTCCTTCCCTACTCGTGATGCCATCACAGTGAGCTGCAGAGCAGATGTGCCCCTGCTTGCTCTGATGGAGATGTACTGGTTGAGACAAATGCTTTTCTCCTGTATTTTAATTAAAAATCAGCAAGACTGTATCAGTGACGGCTCCAGCAGTAGGGGAAATCAAGAATTACATGGTCTGGAGAACAGTTCTCTGCACAGCAGGCTCTAGTCTGTCATACTCCTGTGGGACAAAAACACCAGTGGATATCCTGGCAGCTCGTGGTAAATCTTATTTTATTTGTGCTCCTGTGTTTTTACGAGGCCAAATCACCCATGTGGTAGCCTGGCACCGAGGAGAGAGGCTGGACTGGAGAGCAGTGTCTGCTTTTTGGCCAGGACAGCAGAGCTGGGGGTAGGACAGTGGTGCTGCCTCCCTGGTTTGGCTACACTCGGAGTGGTGATGATTTGGGAAGTGCAGGATGTGCCTAAACCCTGTGTTAGCACCAAGTTGTTGCTTGAGKTGCTTGTAACACCCAGTTTCACCTGATGGGTCCCAGGGGGCTGGCAAAGGTGCACATCASTCTCAGGCAGCTGCCTGACTTACCAGCAATCCAAAATTATCCCCTGAACAGTTTTTACTCTTTCCTCTGCTGCCAATTTTGGCTGGTGCTTCTGCTTTGCTGTCAGTGTCAGCTCTCCAGACTGCGCCCCAGATGTTGCATGTTTTATATATTCCCAGGATGGGCAAGATTTCATGAAAGGGAACCAAAAATGAGACAGTTTGTTTTGCTGGGTTGTCCTGGAGAGGGACCTGACAGCACCTGGCCTTGGCAGCGCCTGTCAAGAGGAAATAGGGGAAATCCAGCTATTCCCCAGGCATATTTCTTTCCCTGGAATATTTCCCCCTGGCCTGCAGCCCTGTATCCTGGTTTCTCTGCCCTGCTAGCAGCTGGTTTTATCCCAACCCACAGAACTGGCTTGGCAGGGTGGAGGCTTTGTCCTCCCTGATTCTCCATCCRTGGAAATGCTGGGTTTGATCCATCCTCGACCCTGCTGGGAGCAGGGGGTTGCACTACATGAGCTCCTCTGCATCACCCTGTGTCACTCAGGGGACAGAGAGACAAAAAGCACCTCGTGATGGGGCTGGTGAATTGTGTCAGCAGCAGCCCGAGCAGGAACTGAAGTGTGCACTAAATCCAGCAGCCGTGCAGTGCTCGGGTCAGGAGAGAGATTTAAAGATTATTGGAGAGACCTTCTTTGAAGTCATCAGCCCCTCTAGGGCTGGGATAAAGCAGGGAAATGCAAAGGCGGAGATGCATCGACARCRAGATGAAATCTGCTTTTASAAGTGGTATTTCTGGACGATGACTYGTTTCATACCTCATCCCAAAATATTTCGCTCCCTGCTGGCCCCGCTCTCCAGGAGAGGATATTGCTCGGAAGCGCGGGGAGGAAGCAGGAGRGCTTCCAGATCTGCTTTTCTTTGGCTGTGGCTTTGCCTCGGTGGATGGGGTGACTCAGGATGGCCTTTTTTCCAGAGGCCACGCTCCAGAGGGAGTTAATGATTAACTCTTTGTGCTTAGTCTGCAGGTCCTGCTGAACCGCAGGAGATTTGGCTCCTGTCAGCACGTGAATATCACGTCAAGCTGTTAAAGCAGCTCAAAGGGTGGCTTTTATGAGCTTCAAAATACAGGTGGGCACAGGGTGTTTGGGCAGAAGCTCAGAATGAGTATCCAGTGGAAGGGATACTGAAAACCAGCTCATGTGAGCACAGGGTCTGGCTCTGCCCCTCTCCCTTTGGGTCCAGCTGAGCAGGAGTAAAGGAAAAACAACCCACAGGGATGCCAAATGATGCTGAGCTCTGTGAGCTTGTGTTGAAAACCCARTGGCATCACTAACCCTGGGTGTATTGTTCTGAGCAGTGCGAGGCAAAGCTTGTATCTAAAATTTCCTCAGGCATCAGGTAGAAAACCATCAGGTAGCAAACATTCCCTTTGCATGAAGAAGAGGCAGAAAATGGTGATTTTTCAGGGGAGGATGGGGAAATGGGTGATAAATGGGGAAATGAGTGATGTCTCTCCAATAATCTGCAATTTCCCAGCCAGAYAGTTTCTTTCCCCTTCAACTGTGCCTTCCACCCACTCTCTCCAGAGAGCTTTGCCTTYCAGCTCGCTCTTCCACTTGTCCTTGCTCAGTTCTGCAGCTCRTTCCTGGAGCTTGCCTTCCATTTCCTTCATTTAAAAAGCATCAGCTCCCGATATTTTTGCTGTAGTAGCAGAGCTAAGAGCAAAAGCTGACAAAGATGGCATGCAGGGGAGGGGAGGATAAAATAGCTCGGCGTTTTGCCATGCTCCAGGGTCACCTGGGATGGATGAGAAGGATTTCATGGCCTCTGAGCACTCAGATATACCTGCTGTTATTGCAGCAGCAGGTTGAAATACCATCTCAGGTATCATTTGCTCAGGCTGACCGAGAGAAGCTGGCTGTTTGCATGGCTGGGGGTGTTTTTCACTTGGAAATGTTTATAGTTTTTATCTTCCAAGGTAATTCCCCTTTTAGTTCCAATCACAACACACTTTTGTTTAAGCAAGGTTTTTTCTTGCTCCCCGGCCAAAAAATGCATCTGTTAGCAATCTTTTTAGATTTTAAAGTGAAGCTTTTCAAACAATGAACCAGCTGACTACGAAAGGCATCTGGTCATGCTATATTTGCTTATGGGGAGCATAATTTTTAAACCCTGGGAAAAGCGCACGAGGGCATGTGTGTRTTTGTGGAGGAGAGAGAGGGTATAGGAAGTGTTAGCATATGGAAAAACCAGAGTGAGCTGGGCTGGGCTGGTTCAGACCCTGAGATTCCAGCTTGGGGAGAGTCTGGTGAAATTCCAGCCTTTTGCAGCACAGCCCCACGGGGAAGCAGCTTTGGGTGAATCATTCAGGTGCTGTGCCAGGGATACCTGGAGGGGTGARGGAGCTCTGGGAGGCTCTGGCAAAGGCTGGGCAGTGTTGGTGGAGCTGGGCTGGGTTTAACCCTCTCATGCAGGCTGCAGACCCATCCATGCCACAGCCTGCTTCCTCCCTGACCTTGCAGACAGCATCCAGGGGGATCATCCAGAGCAGTCAGAAAGAGAGGGGTTCCCAAAATTCAGTGGGCTGCCAGCTTTCCCTTGCTCTGCCACTGTGGAGGAGGAGTGGAGAGCACTGTGCAAAATAAAAGTTGTGTCAGGACAATGTGTAAAAATGAAGGGAGTGTTCCTGTTTTTGCAGCAGGTGCCAGCCAAGGAGGGTTTTGTTAATCCTTTTCTGTGACTTTTCCGGAGCAAAGTTCTCATGGGGCAAACCAACCTTGGAGATGGTGCCAAGAGAGGGGTGAACCATCAAAATAATAGAATCATTAAGATTGGAAAAACCTCTAAGAACATTGAATCCAGCCATTAACCAGCACTGCAATATTTATCCTTAAACCATAGCCCCGAGTGCCACATCCACACGTTTTTTGAACACTTTAGGGGTGGCAATTCCACCACTTCCCTGGGCAGCCTGTTCGAGTGCCTGACCACTTTTTCAGTGAAGAAATTTTTCCGAATATCCAATCTAAGCTTCTCCTGGCATAACCTGAGGCGATTTCCTTTTGTCCTATCACTTGTTACTGTGGAGAAAAGACCATTAAGGTCTCTCTGGGGTTTGCAAGGAGCTGTCTGCTCTTACCTTCCAGCCTTGTAGGATGTAGCTTGGTGTTTTGGGCATCAGGTGAGTGGGGAACTCAGGCAGCCACCGTCAGCAATCCCAAAGCAGCTCCAGATCCATCAGCACCACTGTGGGCTGTGATTGTAGGGAAGCAGATGGGACATCACCTGCAGACTGAGGATCTCAAAGATGGTGCCAGAAGCTTGTTTAGGGAGCAAAGCAGGTGTGACAAAGCACTGAGGAGCACCACAGGTGTCTCTTTCTCCCCACCACCATGGGAACATGCTGGGAGCAGGAGGTTCCATTGCTCCCAGCAGCTGCATTCCTGCAGGTCAGAGCAGCAGCTTATGAAGGTGCAAATGGGCTGAGACCAGCCTTCACATTGCTTCCAGCCACCACTGGCTGAGCCACCATGTCCTCTGTCCTGTGGAATGTCACTGGGAAGAGAAGGAAGTCTGGCTTTGGGAAGCTCCAAGGGGGAGGCATGAAGGCTGTGGAAGTGTTGATCTTGTAACCAAGACATGACAGGGCTGGGTAGCATGAAAGCTCCCTGGGAAGAGCACAGGGATGGCTGGAGCTGGCAGACTGGTGACCCTCACTTGGAAAAGCTCCTGCTAATGAGGAATCTGGACTGGGCACTGCTTTCCCTGCGGGGATGAGGAGGGGACAGAGCTCATTTATTGGGTTGGTGTTACAGCACCCTGCCACTGCCACCATGGAGCAGCACCCATCAGCCTCATGCACTGAGCTCAGGGTGAAGGGACAGCAGAGCCTGTGACATGAGAGGGTGACATGGTGACACCAGGGCCGCAGATTATGGGATTTGTATTTTTGCCAGGCCCCTGGAAAGAAGAATAAGGTGGTGGGAGCAGGTGGAGCAAAGCAGGGGATGGAGCAAGGTTTGTCCTTGGTTGTGCAACTTTGGCATGTCCTGGTTTTTGCAGCTGAACACGTGTGTGGTGGCACATTGGGGACTGGAGGACTGTGGGGGATTGGGGGATATCAATGCAAACACTGCAGAAGAGAAGGGTCCCCTTCCCTGCACTGTGAAATTACAGCCACCAGCCCTCATCTGACAGACCAGCTCAGTCTGGGCTCCAGGGAGTTCATCCTATGCTTCTTGAGAGCAAATACAACAAAAACTACAAAAACTCAGCCCAGAGAATCAGAAATTGGGAGAGTTCATTTCCTTGGTGCCAGCTGGGCAGGATGTGATGGAGCRCCCTGGAGAGCTGATGTTGGAGGTGCTCAGCTCTGTGTCTGGGCATCCCTCCCCAAAGGCAGACTGCAAAACCCACATCCCCAAAACCCACCCTGGGTGCTGAGAAACTATTTTACACGTTCACCCTTCCAAACCCTGAAGCCAGAGAGGTTCCTCCCTCCTCCTGGCGCTGAGCAGAGCCTTGTGACTCACTTCCCTCYGGGCTGTCGCTTTGTCAGGAGATTTCTTTACCACCAGGAGCACACCAAAGGACACTTATCAGTGTGCTGTAGACCATTAGCCCCAGTAATTACCACTGAGCAACGTCCTGCAGCGAGCAGAGGGGAGGGAAGCCCRTGCCCTGATCTTTGCCTGCTTTATTGTGCAGTCCCCCTCTGCCTGGGAAGCTGCTTTGGGCCAGCCTGCCCAGCTGCTCGTCAGAATTAATGAGGTTCTGCTGCACTTAATTGAGAGCACTTTCTAAATTGGGGGTTTCAGGGAGGAAATGCAAGAGCCCGAGGGAGCCGAGCAAAGGGAAATATTTATAATGCAGCACGTTAATTATAAATGAGCAGTTTAGCCAATTTTGTTGTTCAGCCTCCCCTCCACCCCCCCGGAGACCTTTGTTTGCTCCACCGCTTCTTTTCAACCCTAAACGAGCAGCAGGTCCCGATCCCTGCCTGCCTCGCAGGTGTTCCCAGCACGTGGGAAGGTCCTGGGATTTGGGATGASCCAGCCCTGCTGCTTTCCTCAGCATGGATCCCATTCCCTGCCCAGGTCTCCYGGCTGGGCACATCTGGACACMTCTTGGTGCTGTGCCAGGCTGGGGACCTTGCCACCCTTCCCAGATGGTGCTTCTGTTGGGAAAGAGATGCTCCCTGTAAGAGGAGAGACCTCCACTGTCACCTCCACAGGTGACATGACCATAGTCAAGGCACCCATGAGTGTCCCGGCTCTGCTGTCCCCAGGAGCACCATTTGATTTGTGTGCTGGACTCTGAAGCAGGGCAGGAAAGCTGGGAAAATCAGAACGGCCACCAGCTTTGTACAGAGCCTGCCCCTGGCAGGACACAAGGCAATGAGGAGGAGGTTGGCATGARTGCACAGGGCTCAGCTGAGGAGCTGAAAGGCTCAATGGCCATGTCAGACAGAATTGACAGCGAGCAGACAGGTAGCCTGAGCCTCAGCCCAGCTGCTGGGCACCTCTGGGGCACTGTGGGGTCAGGAGAAATGTTAAAGCAAAGGACAGAGCTTTCCAGGCCCCTCGTTGCTCTCAAAGCTGTTTTGTCGCTGCCCTGGAGCCAGGCACAGCACAAGGAAGGGTCAGGTCTGCCAGCACAGGCTGTGCTGCCCGGGGCCAAACTGAATCTGGTCCAAATTACCTGTCCTTGACTCGTGTGTCCTCGTCCTGGCACTCTGCAGCTCGGCAAGTTCGGGTGCACAAATGTTTCCCACACTCGGCTCTCGAGCCACAGTAAATATTTGGGATGCTGCTCCTCAGGCTCACTGGAATCAGCCACAGCTTCTGTGTGCACAGATGGGGCAGARGGAAGATTGTCCAGCTCCTGCCATCGTAGGCAGCTGTGCTTGAGGATGAGTTTTACAAACATCTCTGAAAGTTAKGGAGGGGACAGAGCCATGCAGCAAGTCAGGCTGTGATCAGGACATGGTTACCCATGGAAAATGTCTGGRATTTGTGTAGAATTTGCTGACTCAAGCCTAGACCTGTGTGGCATTTCTGCTGTGAAATCCTCTTCTTTTGATATATATGTTTTTAGGAAAAATAAGTGGGGAAAATGTTAATTATAAAGTATTCCCTCAAAATCTGCCTACCTACTCCGTGCCACCCCTGGGGATGTGCAGAATTAGTTGTCTGAGCTGAGCTCTGAGGTCCTTCAGTCATGTCCTACAAGAACAAGGTAGAACCCGAGAACCCCTCATGATCCCTGACAGACACASGGCATCGTAGCCCAGGATGGCCAAAAAAGGCTCTGCATCACTCAGTGTCACACACCATGGGCCCAAAGGTGACATCTTTTAAGTGGTGACATTGCCAGATGCATGCTCCCTTCTAGTGACTTTTGAAGCCCCCAGAGGAACTGTTTGTTGTGCCTGCAGTCTCTCTTAGGGTCTTGATATGTTGATAAGTCATGGTTCTGCTCCAGGAGTGCAGCCTAGATCATGTCACATTTAAATGCTCTTCATTGCTTGTAAAAAACCTTTTCCCCCCAAGCATATTCAAGGCTGTGCAGCCAAAGCTTCAAGGGCACCRTGGAATTGAAAAAAGGGAGATTTGGATGTAAAATTTCAGTGTGGTTTCTGTAAGGCTGATAACCACCAGTAGGACAGAGTTTGGTCACAGACTGGGGGTGTAATTGTATATAAAGCATGGCAGTTCAGTAAACCAGGTGATGTTCCCATAGCTGGAGCTGTCAGGGGTGAGCTCAAAAAGCAGAAAATTACACTTCTATTAATATAAAGTAATGCAAGAACTCAAGGKTGCCCCAGAATTGCTTGRTYATGAAGGGCAGGGGATGTTAACATMATCTCTACTAATCTTCTGGTTTTGTTTCTCCTTTTTATCTCCCATCAGGACCAGGAAGAAAATAAAGGAGCCACCAGCTGGCCAGAGTTCTACATTGATCAGCTGAATTCCATGGCTGCTGTGAGTATTCCACACTGCCCTGGTGCTTGTGACCYCTGTGTGGGGTGGCAGCACAGGGGGACAGTCTGTCAGTGTCATGAGGGTGGCACGTGTCAACAGGGGCAATGTCATCAGGGACAGCTGCAAAATGGAGATGTTCCTACAGCACCTGGGGTGTTTCTGCACTCACAGAGCCATGGATTTGGGGTTTGGGTTGGATGGAACGTCAAAAAACAACCAGTTCCCACTCCCTGCTGTGGGAAAGATCACCTTCCACCAAACCAGATTGCTCCAAGCCCATCCAGCCTGGCCTTGAACACTTCCAGGGATGTGGCAGAGGGATGAGCAGGGGCTGTGAGCCAGGAGGGAATGTGCTGCTCCCCCCAAGGAAGGCAGGAACACCCAGTGCTGGCCATGGGCTGCCAGCCAGGCAGAGCCTTGAGCCTGAGCAGAGCGTGTGATCAAAGGCTGCCAGATGCCTGGAGGGTGGCTTTGATCTCCCTGACGTGCTGCTGAAGAGGAGCTGGGTTAGATGCAGGGGTCAGCACAGCCCCTCATATCTGCTGGGACCCTTCTCAGTGCTTGGGCTCAGCCTCAGCCGGGGCTGGCAGGGCTCACCCTGACACCTCCGGGTGCTGCAGGARCCACTCAGGGGTTGTTTGAGCTGTAGCTGAGCCCCATTCATGCCCAGGAGCAGGCAACCCTGCTCTCCTGGTGCAAGAATCAAAATTCCAGCCCCAGCTGGAGAGCAAATCCAGCGTGGGAGATGCATCCTGTGCACACAGACACTGTCCCCAACCCCGATGGGCACTGGTGGGTTGCAGTGGAACACTTGGGAGTGACAGGGTTGGCTGTTCACCATCCCCATGGCCTCCTCTGGATTYTCTCCAATAGCCTAATGYCCATTTTSAATGTCCTTTTTTAWACTGTGGTGCCCAAAACTGCCCCCAGGACTCGAGGTGAGGCCACACCAGTGCAGAGCAGAGTGGGAATTGTGTGAGTCCCTGCAGACAGTGCCTTCCCCCTCTGTCCCAGTCCAGGCTGCCTCCTTGCAGACCCTGGAGGGGTTTTCCTCACTGCTCTKTATCCCAAGGCCTGTGATTGCCATAAAGATCTGCCCTTCCAGAATAGGTTTAGGATCCCCATGGCTTGGCACGGTGGGTGCTGCCACTCCTCCAGCACATGTTTTACATGGAGATCYCCCTTCTGACTTGTGCCTTCCTCCTTTGGCAGAGAAAATCGCTGATTGCTTTGGAGAAAGAAGATGAGGAGGAGAGGAACAAAACAATCGAAAGTCTGAAGACTGCGCTGCGGACGAAACCAATGAGGCAATTCCCTTCCCTTTCCTGGCTTTATTGCTGCGGTTGTGGCTTTGGGTTTGACTTCTCTGGCAGAGCAGGGGGTTATATAGAAATATAGATGGGAGCTGCTCAGGATGATGGAGGCCAGGACTCTGAGGCACTAATTGCTTTTTTTTGTTTCACCAACAGGTTTTTTTTTATGTCACGTTTTGTCATTTTGTTCCATTTTCTTCCATTTTCTTGGCCCTTTTAGTGACCAAGAGCCACCAGAATCTTCCCGACTGTTCAGGCAAATCAGACAACTTCTGGTGTTTTTTCCAATTTTTCCTTTGTTCTTACTGGAACAGAATGTAAAAAACCCTTAATTTTTTTTTTAATTTTTTTTTTTTATTATTATTTTTTTAAGAAACAGCAATTTTTATTGGTCAACCAGGCCCTTTGTTTCAACTTTATCTTACTTTGCTCTTTATAAGGGAATAAAGTTACATGAATCTTCAGGCTTTTATGAAATGAAARAATGTTGCTTGGAGGTTTTGATGGGGAAGATAAAGGAAGGCTGGGACTCCTTCTGAATATCTGTAGATTTTCCTAATTTCATTTTCTTTGGTGTCTGCATGTACACATCTGCAACACTTCAGTTGCCTCAGGTGACATCTTCTGATGGGAATATGTTCCACTAGGAAATGCCTGACCCTTCTTGGTTATGAAAGAAACTGAAATTTACTGTTGCTTGTAAATACATTTCCCTCTTCCACCTGTGGTGGTGATACTTGGTAAGAAATTYCYRGGGTCCAGRGTGASCAYCTGATTCCTGTGACACCTGGACCTYGTGGGTGCTGGCCCCTGCAGTGAGCAGGGCTGCTCCCCAGCCATGAAACATTGCAAAATCCTTAAAAGTGATTTTGAGTGTTTTTTGAGGGATGCAGCAGGCTCTGTAGACGATTTTACCTGTTGGACCTACTTTTGCACCCAGGGAGGTGCACATCAACTTTCCTGTTGACTTTGGCTGGAAGAAGAGCAGGCTTTGTAGCAGAGAAGGCAGTTTCCCCCAAGCCTGCAATTACCCCTTTTGTTGCTGCGCATCAGCATGGCTTGTTTCGAATTAAAATCATCCCAGTGCTGGGATGTTCTTGGCTCGCTTGCTTTGCCTTTTGCCAAAGCTGAGGACACCCAGYCTGGATGGCCCTGGGCAGGGGGGCCCTAAAATGCCTCAGCAGTGTGTGCAGTGTGGTGTCTGCCTGCTCTGGTGAGCCTGCCTGGGGCACTGCCCTGTGTTTGCTGTCTGTATTCTGTTCAGTGGTGCTGTAAGTCATCATAAAAATCAGAAATCCCCTCAAAATGGGAGATTTTKGCCTAGGGGAGGAGAAGGGTGTGGATGGTGAGGCAGGAGGGCTCGCAGAAGGCAGAAAGGCTGACACTGGGGTGTCTGCAGCTGGTGAGGACTTGGGATCTTCTGCCAGTCCAGAACTGATCTCGAGTGAGGTTTAAGACTGCATTGGTATTTTTTTCAGTGTGACTGCAAACTTCCAGTCTCTATCCTGGGACTTGTGCTGATGGCTGGGTTAGCTGGTCCTCTTTGAAATATCCTCACTCTGAGCAACCTTGTGCAGATGGTGCCTGGTTGCCTACCAGCCACCAATTAAATTGATTTTTATAACCCCATCCCTGTGTCTGGACCACAGGAGTCCTTCAGGCTTCCTGCTATCCAAGAAAAAGCATCTAAGAAGGTTCTGGGTTTATATTAACARCCCTGTTTGAGGGTAAAACAATCCTTTAGCATTTGTTTTGAAGTTAAAACCCCTTTTCATGGCAGGTTCGTGACCCGGTTCATCGACCTGGACGGATTATCGTGTATCCTCAACTTCCTCAAAAGCATGGACTATGAGACAGCAGAGTCTCGAATACATACCTCGCTCATTGGATGTATAAAAGCACTAATGAACAACTCCCTGGGCCGGGCCCACGTCCTGGCCCACTTGGAGAGCATTAATGTAATCGCTCAGAGTCTGAGCACCGAGAATATTAAGACAAAGGTGGCAGTGCTGGAAATCATGGGCGCCGTGTGCCTGGTTCCCGGGGGCCACAAAAAGGTACTGGAGGCCATGCTGCACTACCAGAAATAYGCCAGTGAAAGGACTCGTTTTCAGGTAGGTGGGTCTCTGTTCACCCCTCAGCCCCTGAAATTCAGYAGCTCTCTCCCTTTCTCCTCCTGAATACCTAAATGCTGCTTGCAAATGTTTTGTTACGGCTGCTCGCGAGTTAGAAACTCAAGAATTACCCCAGAACTGTGTCTGATGAGATCTGTGGCTGAGCAAAGAGGGAGGAAATAGCTATTTAAGGCAATGCCAGCCAAAAATATGCTGGTTCGTGCAGGGTCACTGGAATCACAGCTCTGCGAGGCTGCAGTGTACCTGGATGGGCTGGTGTTTGTCCAAATGAGTGCTGGGGGGACCAGCACCAGTTACAGGAGCATCCTGAGTTGTTCCTGCCTATGTCCCTGGTGTTTGTGCAGCCCTGGGGCTGTCCAGGGGCGTTGAACTGACCCTGTGTGTTTGGCAGACGCTGATCAATGACTTGGACAAGAGCACGGGCCGGTACCGGGATGAAGTGAGCCTCAAGACAGCCATCATGTCCTTCATCAACGCTGTCCTGAGTCAGGGGGCAGGCGTGGTGAGTGCTCTGGGGGAGGGAGGCTTTGGGGTGTATTTGGGGTGTTTATTTCAGTGAACTTTCTGAGGATGTGCACCTCATTGTGCTGACCTCACAACTGTGCCTTTCAGGAAAGCCTGGATTTCAGACTCCATCTGAGRTACGAATTCCTCATGCTCGGGATCCAGCCAGTCATCGACAAACTGAGACAGCATGAAAATTCAACCCTTGACCGGTGAGCAGTGACCCCCAACCCACTCGTGATGTTTGCCTGGTGCCCTCACTGCTGGTTTCAGGATTTGGCCTTTGGGGAAAGCACGTGAGAGTCACACCTCTTACAGAAATTCCTTGCTGTTACCAGACAGGGAGGAGGAAATTCCATCACGGTTTGGCTGCATTTTAACATAGGGTTGAGCTGGGGAGGATGTACCATCAGGGGTCCAGGGGATGCTGTCAGCCCTGATCCACCTCTTCTCATCCCAAAAGGCTCCTTGTGACTAGGATGTCAAGGCTGAAGATGTTTCAAGCCCTGCCAGTCTCCGGGCTGTAATTTATTAATTGTCACATTTGTATCTGCTTTCAATAGTCATTTTTTTTCCTTTTTTTCTCCCTTTTTTTCCTCAGGCACTTAGATTTCTTTGAAATGCTCAGAAACGAAGATGAACTGGAGTTTGCCAAAAGATTTGAGCTGGTGAGTACAAATTCAGACACCGGCACTCAGTGTCACAGCTGGTTTTAAAAACACCTGTGTGCCCTGAGACTAAGAGTGGTTTCTGGGTAAAATCTGAGGTTTGAAATATTTCCTGTTGCTCTGCTCTGTCCTAGACCTGCTTTTACCCTTGTGTCCTTTGGCTGCCCTACAGCTCTGTTTGTCCCTCGCAGGGCATTGGGGCCGGTTTGTGTGTCAGGTTTGGGGTGGGGGTGGCTCGTGGGGTGTGGAGCTGAGACTCCAGGTGATGCTGCTGTGGGTGCAGTGTCCTGACCTGGCCTGGCTCCTGTCCCCAGGTGCACATCGACACCAAAAGCGCCACTCAGATGTTTGAGCTGACGAGGAAGAGGCTGACGCACAGCGAGGCGTACCCGCACTTTATGTCCATCCTGCACCACTGTCTCCAGATGCCTTGTGAGTCCCAGGAGAGGCAGGAAAACCCACAGCTGCCGGGGGCCTGGCAGCCCAGGGGCATCACAGCCTCCCCTTTGCTCTCATCAGTGTCTCCCCTTCCTTCCCTGCAGATAAAAGAAGCGGCAACACTGTCCAGTACTGGCTGCTGCTCGACAGGATCGTGCAGCAGATCGTCATCCAGAGTGACAAAGGGCAGGACCCCGACGCCACTCCCCTGGAAAACTTCAACATTAAAAATGTTGTGAGAATGTGAGTGCTTGAGTGTCACCGTTCCTTACTYGTCACTGTCACACAGGGATGTTGCTGTTCCTGGGCTGGACACAAACCAGTGTCCCTGGGGCTGTTGGCTTCCCAGGACTCACCCACCCCACCTTATAAATGAAGCCCATCCCTTTGTTAGACAGCACTTGCAATCAGTACTTGAGATTTTGGARTTTTTGCATGTTTGCTAATGAACTTTACATAACCCTGCTGGAGGTAGAAACAGCAGAGCTGTCAGATGTTACCAGTTTGGACACCTTAAATCCCACTCATTTGTGTTTCTGGCTGGTGATGGTCTGTTAGTTGCTGTGGTAGGATTGTCTCATGGGCCACATCTCCTTTCCTTTTAGGTTAGTCAATGAAAATGAAGTGAAACAGTGGAAAGAACAAGCAGAGAAAATGAGAAAAGGTGAGTGATGGAGAAATGTAGAGTGTCATCTTTAATCTTGGCTGAACAATCAACATGTACATGTATTTATATATTTATACATGAATCTACAGGCCTTATTGAGGGGCTGAGATCACACCATGGGCAAAAGCAAAGAATATTTTTTCATAGAGAGGCTATAAATGAGGTGTTAAGGCACAGCACAGGCTCCCTTTTCTCAGCTGTGCAGCTTCTCTGCAGGGCCATGTGGGGTTTAGCCCCCCACCATGGGCTGCTGTTGGCAAAAAGGAGAGTTTGTCACCCAAAAGTGTTCTCCTGGGGCTATTTCAGAGCACACAGAGCTTCAGCAGAAGCTGGAGAAGAAGGAGCGGGAGTGTGACGCCAAGGCCCAGGAGAAGGAGGAGATGATGCAGACGCTGAACAAGATGAAGGAGAAGCTGGAGAAGGAGTCCAGTGAGCACAARCAGGTCAAGCAGCAAGTGGCAGATCTCACAGCACAGCTCCATGAGATGAGCAGGGTAAGACCTCAGACCTGCTGCCTATTGTGGGCCCAGTCTCAAATGTCCTGCAGATGCTGTAGGGTGATTTCAGGAGGCTGAGCTGTATGGGGACTGAGAAAGAGGCTTGTTGGGAGGGTTTCCAAGATATCTGTCCCTGCTGATGGGGTGATTTCATCTCTCTGCTTGCACTGAACAGTCAGGGGTGTTGAAGCCTTTGAGTGCTTCCTTTGTTTACCAAATTTTAATTAAAACAATTAAAAATCAGCTTGGGGGTGTTTTTTAGGTGGTGTCCCCCAACTCCATTTGACCTCTCCTCYTTCTCTCCCAGAGGGCCATCTGTGCTGCCAGCCCTGGAGGACCTCCCATGCCACCAGGAGCCCCTGGTGGCCCTTCACCTTGTCCAACTCCCGGATCTCTTCTTCCCCCTCCTCCACCCCCACCACTCCCTGGGGTCTGTCCCCCACCGCCTCCCCCACCCCCTCCTCCAGGTGGTCCCCCGCCTCCCCCTGGCCCCCCACCCCTGGGTGGGATGATGCCTCCCCTTGGAGCACCTCTGGGCATGACCTTCAAGAAGAAGAGCATCCCTCAGCCAACAAACGCCCTCAAATCCTTCAACTGGTCCAAGCTTCCAGAGGTAAGCTGGGCAGTAATTTGGGCAGCGTGAGTGGAGGTGCTGGCTGGTGATCAAAGTGCCCAACCTGCAGTGTTCCCTCTGGCTTGCAGAACAAGCTGGCAGGCACCGTGTGGACCAGCATAGATGACTCAAAAGTGTTCAAAATCCTGGACCTCGAAGACCTGGAGAGGACGTTCTCCGCCTACCAAAGACAGCAGGTAACGGCTGGCCCGGGGTGGGGACATGGGGACATGGGCAAGRTGCCACCATTATGGGGTCACATGGTTCCACTCATGGCCTCAAAACACATCTCCCATCAATGTTTCATACCAATGCTGTGTTTGCCACATCAACTTCATCTGCTTCATGCTCTCATCCATGTGCCAGAGCCTTTGCATTGAGGGGCTCAGTCTTTCTGTTTCCTCACCTGACCACGTGTATCCTGAAGATGGATCACCAAAAAAATGTGCACACAAAGAAAAAGAGACAGGGAATGTTATGAAAATAGCCCCCAGATGTGGCCACAGTTGGGYAATATTTTTGGGTTGCTCTTAACAACAGCTGCTCCATGTGTCTGTATTGGGTGGAAAATTTCTGTCCCTCTCTGGCCAAGATGGACTGAGTTTTGCCCACATCTACCATGGGTGGGTCTCTTTTATTTTTGAAGTGAGCCAAGAGCAAAATGTGAGCTTTGAGCAAAAATCCCAAACCAAAATAATGTCATTGCAGGCATAAGTCTCTGCTTTTTCATCTCCTGCTCAAGCAATATACTCCCAGTTTGGAAGGCATCAAAACACAAAGAAAATTAGGTACTTATTTTACATCAGGCAGGGTGAAAATGGGTAAAAACAATGAGTTTTTCAAGAAGGTAGGAAAAGAAGGAAGGAGAGAGGCTGAAAAAGCATGTTCACCTGCTGAACACCTGGCTGTGCTCCTGGGAGGAGAGGACAGCTTGTCTCCTTCGTGCCAGCTCCGTTAGAGTGACTCTGCTGGGAAGGAGTGGACCCGACCCATAAGCTCATTAGGAGACATGAGAGTTTAATCTCTTCCAGAGGCTAATTGAGGGAAAGATCAGGGTGGATTARAGCAGGGCAAATATCAAGAGTAAGCCACCAGAAGTACGTGCTGCCCCAGTGTTTTGGGAACAGGTGACCACAGCAATGTCTCTTTCCCCSGGCATTTTTGGAGCTTGACTCATGGAGGGCACGTCTGAGGACAAGGGATGGGGATGGAAGAGCTGCAGGAATAGAAAGCTGAGTGTCAGCAAGACAGTTTGCCCTCAGGCTTGCCTGCCCGAGCCCGTGAGTCACCTGGTGCGATGAGGATTATTGCCAGGCAGGAATTTAAAAATAATTTGGCTTGGCTGAGGTCCTGTTGGGTGAAGTGGCTTGGTTAGGTTTGGGGCCAGGAGGAGCAGGGAGATGATGCAGGAGAGCTGTGACATGAGCTTATACCCAGATGGGGTGAGCTCCCACTTGTGAGATGCTGCTGTGGGGCTGGAGCTGCCCTTGGGGACAGGCACAAGTTCCCTGTGGTTCACCCAGGCTTCATTTTGTGTGATGGGACACATCTCCCTGGACCTGAGGGATGTGGTTTTGTACCTGGAGGTCCCCAGGGTGCTCCCAGTCTTGGGAGAGAGCTCTGCAGCCAGTCAGGGTTGTGCTCCGTGAGAGAAAGTGGAGGTGTTCCAGGCTGGATGGGGCTCTAAACAGCCTGGTCCAGTGGAACATTCCCTGCCCATGGCTGGGAGGTTGGACTAGATGGTCTTTAAAGTCCCTTCAGCCCATTCTGTGGTTCTGTAACACATGCAAACATGGGCACTTTGTACGTGGTGGGGGGCTGGGGGAGTGAGCAGCCTGTCCTGAGGCACAATGAACCAATAATGGTGTAATAACTCACAGCATTCTCAAGCTCTAGCAAAAGTTGGTTTCTGTCACGAAGAAACAGGGGACGAGCAGGGTTTCCTCATCCCTGTTCCCTCTCTGGAGCCACTTGTTCTGTGATCRTGCCTCTCACTTGTCCTGAGTCACAATATCCCCGGGAAATGGGGAATCAGGAGCTGCCTCTCTGCCCATGGCCCCAAACGAAAACAAACCAGGGCTCTGCAAATGCATGGTCAGTGGTGCATCCGTGTGTCCAGTGCCCCAGCAGGGCTTGGGGACAGCAGGCAGAGGTGTGAGCAGTGCTCAGAGCTCTCTGATCCCCCCCAGCTGGCTGTTGTRGGGCTGCCTGTGCTGGGATTTGTCTGTTTTTTTTGTTGCCAGAGTGCCTGGGAATCCCTAAGCACCGCACAGACCCGAGGCTTAACCATGTACTTAATTCTAAGCATCTCTTTAAATATTTTTCCCACATCACAGGCTGGGATGTAAATGCAGGCTATTAAGTGAGCTCTGCAGCTTTTGGGAAAAGCCCTTTCCATGTGGGGAGGACAGGAACCCTCTGGGCTTTGTGGGGCTCAGCCTGGGAGCATCCCAGTATCCTCCCTGCCAAGGCACTGGCAGATGTCCCTGTCCCCAGAGAAGCTCTCAGCCCTGCAGCTGTGCAGAATGCCAGCATTTACAGAAAAACCAACTGGAGCTGTTGATTTTTTGGCTGTGGCATGAGGATTGGAGGGATCTGTGTGTGAGGGTGTGCATGTAGTGATGGAGAAAAGTGAGTCCAGGGCAGTCAGAGCTTAACACTGCACAGGGGTTTGTGTCTCTGTCAGGGATGTCTTGTGAGTCTTCAGGGGGGCAGAGGCTGGGAGTGATGCTGATAAATAGCAGTGACACAGCCAGGGCAGCCCTGGCAGGTCCTGCAGCGGTGAGTGATGTCAAAGAGTCAAGGCCAAGTGGAAAAAATATGTGTTGTTGAACCAGGGGCTTAGGAGTGAGCTGGGAAAGAATTCAGCTCCCAAAAAAGGATGAAGGAAGTGAAGCCTCCAGYTCCTCGGTGCGAGGCAGAGTGACCTGGCCAGGGACAGCAGGGCTGGGAATTGTTAGTGGGGTCGATGACAGCACATTTGCAGCTCCTCCTCCTACACCATCCTGCAGCAGAGGCTGGGTCAGGGTTCCTGCGAGGGAAAGGGGCAGGGATGAAGCTGGWTTGAGGCAGAGAGGAACGGGTTTTGTAGTGAACCTTTTCTCCATCTTGATGCATGAAGAKCCCTCCCTCTCCTAGAGCAGGGGACTGCAGAGAAAGCTTCCATGTCCTTCTCCTCTCCAGCAGCCTGGGGCAAGCCTGAGCATCATGGGGCAGGTCTGAGGGTCAAAATTGAAGGAAGGCTTCCTAAATGGGGACCAGTTAAACTGAAGAATAACCACTGCAGCTTGTGGGTGTGCTTTTTGCATGTCCCRCAAAAGAGACTGCTGTGAAGAGGTCGATTAATGAAATACTGCTCCTTACTCTTAACTGAACCAGAAACTTTCTGCCATAAGGCTCTTGATCAGCACAGCCCAGCTGAGAGAATGAGGAGGGAAGACCCCAAATGTGTGGGGCTGGCTTTGCTGCACCTGYYTCCAGTCTGGTGKGGAGCMCAGMRGGACAGCCAGCTCCTTGGAGMAGCACRGTGCCAGTGGGGCATRGGGTGGCATTGGGCCAGGCTGCTKAGCCCTGGAGCAGCAGGGAGGAGGSTGAGAAYTCAAGGGGGAGYGTGTTGCCGTGGCAAATAGTAAAGTTTTGCTGCGGCCAGCTTTGCTCTGGGATGAGCCTCTCGTTATTTCCACTTAAAAGCCCTGTTTTTCCTGGCAGTCGTGTTGGCATTTCAGTCCCTCAGATGTGCAAGAAGCAGCAATTTTCCCCCCAGCACTGCAGGCTGAGCAGTGCTGTGCCTTTGGGCCAGTGGCAGGGCTTGGCCAGCATCCTCCCACCTCCTCCTGTGTCCCCTGCTCACCTCTGTGCACAATGGACCTTGGTCTGACCCGTTCATGGAGCCACCTCTCCCATCAGCTCTCTCCTTCTGCACATCCTTTAATCCACATTTTCACCTGCATCCCCCCTCTTTTGGCACTGACACCCCCAAGTGCCTCCCCACGCTGCCAAACCCCCCAATATTGCACTTTTTCCTTCTCTGTGCTTCTTCTCCCTCTGGTTTTGCCGAGATCACTGAACTGCATGTGTTTTTTACTGCCTTTTTCCATGCTTCTGCTATGGCTGTAGGACTTCTTTGTGAATGGTAGCTCCAGACAGGTAAGTGAGCACCTGCAGGACTGAGGTGTGGGCAGGGTGAGCATGGGGGTGGGGTCAGGGATAGGGGGTTCTTCTGAGGGGGGTTAATGTGTGAAAAATGGGATTGAATCAGAGGTGCAAACATCACCAGAAGGAGCAGCTTCAAAGTTGATRCTGGGGAGGCTGTAAGGCAGAACCCAACCTCTCTGCTGTCAGGCCTGAGGTCAGATGCAATGTCTGAGTCCAGAAGTGGGATTTTTAGATGCAGTGGAACACAGAGRAGCTCCTACCCCTGAGCAGTTTTGCTTTTCAGAAGATGAAAACAAACTCACGGGGTGAAGCTCTCTGCTTGGTCAGAGCAGGCAAAGCACAGGASGGGGCAGCTGGTGCTCGGTGACTTGGGGCCCACGTTCCATCACCTGCCTCTCTTCCCACTTCTCATAGCTGCAGGGTTTCTTCATTAAAACAAGAAAAGGAATAAAAAAATGGGAGTTTCAGTGCTCACTCTCAGCCCTTGCAGTGGCCATGTGCCAGGTCCCCTATGCTCGTGGACATTCAGTGTGGATCTGTAACATGCAGGACCTCGCAGCTCCAGATTGTGTTCCTTCCAGAAGGATTGAATAGCCAGCTTTTAATTGATTAACCTTACTAAAATATGCAATATGGTAAATTAAAACCTGGGGCAACATGAACTTCTCAGGCAACCCTGCAAAACTGCTATTCAGTAGATGTGCCCATTTGCCCATAACCACAATGTTGCTACTCATTCGAAGGTAATGTATTTAAGCAGTTTAGAAGATGCAAGTGCTTGTGCCATGCCAATTCCTGCTTTCAAATCCCTCACTTTGGGAGAATTTCACTGAAAAAGCTTTTGCAAGTGTGCTAGCCTGTATTGGTTAGCTGTCTGGGGAGGCCTGGTGCATGAAGGGTGATTACAGATGTTTGGAGCAGGGGTGAGGAGCAGGAGCAGTGTGTGCAGCAGCCCATAGTGAAATACTCCATTCGAGGGTTTAGTGAAGTATCACAAGGATGTGTGCTGAGAAAGCSCGCCTTTATTTATTCAGCAGCGCCCGTGTGTTTGCAGATTTTTAAATCTTCCCTGTCTGAGAAAATATTTACATTTCTAACCAGTGGCTTCAAAGCCAGCTCTGGTTTATGAAATGCCTGACTGTGTTTCGGTTGCAGCGAGGGGCTTTAACCTGTGGTGACACTCCTGATTAATGAGGGCCTGTGTGTATCACTCTGCTGTGTGCTGGGAGTACTAAATGTCCTTGCTGCTCCATGGCTCTTCTCCAGGCTTTTCTTCTTTTTATTTTCTCGTAGAAGGAAGATGCCATCGACGACACGTTGAGCTCCCGGCACAAAGTCAAGGAGCTTTCAGTCATAGACGGCCGGAGAGCTCAGAATTGCAATATCCTCCTCTCCAGGTATGGTTAATGCCTTGTTCCCCCTCTGGGATGCTCAATACYCTGCTCTGAGCTGCCCTGAGTGTGCTCCTCATCCCAGGAGGGCCAGTGACACCTGAACCCAGCTATAGCCTTACATCCTCATGGTGGTGTGATTCACAGGGGGCAGTGCCATCAGCTGTGGCAATTCAGTGTCCCTGGAAAGCCCCCSAGGGGATGGGATACCAGAGAGCCTTCACAGGAGGGGAAAGTGGCTTGATTTCACCTCTTATCTTTCTTAGCCTGGGTTTTGTTTGCTCTTTGCTGGTGGTTAAAGAGGKTCTCCCTGGGCTGGGGAAGTGCTGGGGAGCAGCAGGGACCAGCAGGAATTTGGCCAGGACCTTGCTGCCCACATCTGAATTTTGGGAAGGGGATGTCCCCTCTTACAGCTGCCCTGCTGGTCTGACAGCCTCCCTCACACCCCTCACCAGGCAGTCAGCCCTGCTATTTAATCTGATCTCCAGATTGCTGCCAAAAGGATAAAAAAAAAAGGCTTTTTTTGGCAAGATAAACTGCACCAGTAAGTTTGAATCCTAGGAAAAGGCAAACCGGGTGGTGGTAGTTTGAAAGTGTAGTTACTTGGCAAAAACCTCCCAAATAGCAGCAGAAAATGCTACTTGTTTCTGACTCACCCAGGGGAAAAAAACTCCAACATCAGTAAAATTTAGAAATATTCATTCCACTGTCTGGGGAAGCTTCTGTGCCACCCAGGACTGGCCAGGATGGAACTTGCAGGTTGAGCTTGCAGCCACAGCACCCGAATCCGGTGTTTTCCCAGAGCGTGGGTCCCATCTGGTTCTTCCCAGTGGAGATGGTGCCTTGTCTGTTCAGCCCAGCTGATTTATCTCCCTAGAAAGCTTGGAGAGGCTGATGTCAGCAGAAAAAAAAACCCTCTGGGTGGGTAACTCAGCCCCTGGTGCTTCTTCCAGAGGTGGCTGGCAGCCTGCGGGCAGCGAGAGCGACGAGTGCGGCGAGCCGTGTGCCTCATTTGGGGGTAAAACTGCCCTGTTTATGGCTGCCTCTGCTCTTTGCTGCTTCTGGGCATTTTCGTGCTTCCTAGAAGTCCAAATAAAAAAGGATGAGGATGAAAGCAGAGTTGAAAGCAGCAGGCAAATGAGTATGTCTGTGGCAGGCAGCTATTAGCAAGTAAAACGATGGGATTTGGGGCACTGGCTGGGCTGCTCCTGGCATACGTGGGCTGAGCTTYGAGTGGGTTTAGGTGTGATTCAGCCAGAGGTTTAAGTGTATTTTTGGGTGTTAAACACACAAATAGCTCTTTCAGTGGGAAGGGGACAGACCCAAGCACTCAACTTCAAAGGCAGCTTGCACATCTTGCTGAGTAAAAGGCTCAATTTCATCTCACCAGCAAACCTTTCTCTTCCAAGAAAGCAATGGCTGGAAGTGAATTGGCAGTAATTAATCCCATAAAAAGGGCAGCATGGAGGCTGCTGCCTGCCTGTGGGTTATTTCCTCGGGGAGAAGAGAGACTTGCCCTGCARRGTGGTCCCCAGGCCTCTCATACAGYTTTTCCCATGCCCATCCTCATGTGGGGACAAGTGGCTTTGAGGTTGCAGTGRCTTGCCYCAGATGCTGCTTTGGAAGTGCTTTRGGGTTCATCCCRTGGTTCTCCCAGGACCAATCGAGCTCTCCCCAAAATCCCTTTGGGTGATTTGAAGCCAGTGGCTCACAGGAAGAGCAGTGTAGGGATAAAGCCCAAGCATCCTTTTGGTAGTCTCAAGTCCCGCATCTCCAGCAGCCTCCATGTATCCTTGGCCAAACCCTTTTGCCTCTGCCCACCCAAGCTGCCCATCCCAATGCTGGGCAGAGCAGTGGGTCTCTGATCCCAATTTTCCAAAGGGATTGGTGTGGCAGCTGGGAGCTGCTCTCCTGACTCACCAGCACAGCCACCGCGGGGCTGAGGAGACTTTCACATGCGAAAGGACCTGCAGGCTTGGCCCCTGATTTAGCCCAGACGCTTGTGAGCTCACCAGGCATTGTCTGGCTCGCAGCGTGGAAAGATTACGGCCAGTGAGATACTTTATCTCTCTCTGTAGATTTATTTTTTTGCCTGTTTTCCTTGCTTTGGGAGAAATTACTGCGCARTGAGATCATTGGATTTTCCTCCAGCTTGTAATGCAGCGCAAGAATATTTTTAACGCTTGCTTTTTTCCTCTGCTTTTTGGAGSCCGCTTTGCTGATGTCAGTGCCTTATCGTGTCTTCCTCTGTGAACCCACCACGTCCTTGCTTTTGCTCCCTGTGTATTTTTAGTCCTGCGTTTTGCCAGATTCAAATCCACCCCTCTCTCCATCATTTTCCGCCTGTGCCGGCGGTGAATGGCTCGTTTGATTTCTCTCTCCCAGCGAGGCGACGTGAAACATTTTTTTTTCCTCAAATGAATGCTGCTTTTCAGGAGGGCGCGTCCCTTTCCCGGCGGAATTTGTTTTTCCCCCTTCACACTTATTACATCCTCGGCGGGGTTCGACAAAAGCCGCGCGGAGCAGCGCCGCGCTTGTGGGGCCGGCGAGCTGTCACCTCGCATCGCCGGGCTGCTGCCTTTAAATCCCTGTGACAGCAAGTCCTGTGACCCCGTTCCTCTCAGACGGCTCGCCTTCGACAGCTGCTGCCAACAATGATAATTATTGTGGTTATAGATAAGCTTCTAGCTTTCACTGGCCCCTTTCCCATCAAATTGTCTGAGAAGCTGTTTTCTTCTGGCGCCCCGCGCCTGCTCTCTGCTGATGCAGGGGCAGGCTCTTGTTCTTGGCGCTGGGCTGTGATGATTCCTGAGAAAAGTTGGGTTTTTTTTTTTTTCAACCTTTTTCTTTTCAAATGAATTTTTGTTGTTGGCTTTGCTTTCAATGAACGAGGGCTTAAAAAAGTCACCCTCATCTTTCACCACCCTGCTGGMGATTGATCCCGGTACTGTCATGTGTGTTAGGTGTTTGCTGTGGATTTGGGTARCTGCCTGCTCACCCCATTCTCCCAGGAGCATTTTTGCCTCCCAGGGATCCCCAAATTCCCAAATCTAGTGCCAGTGTCTGCTTTTCATCAGGGTGGAGACCAGTGTTGGTGGTCTGAGCATTCCTGTTGCTGCTTGGGTGTAAAAGGAGTTCTGCAGTTTTGTGTCTCAGCTTGGATTTTGTCTCATCCTAGTGCTGCCACTGTAAGGGACAGGTAGGGTRACCCCAGGACRTGGYTCCTGCAAGCAGCARAGGGGAATTTCCCAAGGATTCTGGGTTTGATTCTTTTATGATGACCTCAGCAATTGTCCTGCCACTGCTCAGCACAATCTTTGAGCCTCCTGCTCTGGCTGAGGTAGATTTTACTTCACTGGTTAATTAACAGATCGTCTCTAGGATGCTCCCTTGAGGAGGAGGTGAGAAAAGACTGAGTGCAGGAGGAGAAACTTGGGCTCATAAGGAATGAAGATTTACTTACCAGGTCTGTAAGATCCACCTGCCTCGATACAGCCAATCCTTCACTTCATCTTGAGCAAAAGATTTCAAGCCAAACCAAGCACTTGCTACCCTGGCCTTAGAGACCAGCACCCTTCCTATGTTAACTTCAGCTTCCAAAAGCCAGCTCCAGTCTGTCTGCTCTCTGAAGAAATAGGAGGATGGAAAGCTCCTTCCTTGTGTAATAACTCAGAGTGATCAAGTCAGCTCCTGGTCTTTTTGATCTGCGGATCAGGTTGACTTCCAAGGTCTCCCATCCTGTGTAGGGTGTGTTTGTGGTTTCCACTCATTTCTCTGAGCCACATCCAGTGTTTCAGCATCTCTTTGCACCACTGATCACTGATTCTGGGGCCAYGGGGTTCCTCAGACAGGTCTTTTCAATGCCTTGGTTTTCCCTGCATGCAAGCASAGGGAATTATGTTTTTTAAACTGTTGCAATGGCTTTAACCACAACAGCACACTGGATGAGGGAGAGGATGCTGGTAAATAGAGTTGCAGGAGTTTCTGGGCTTTCCCTTTTTATCTGGGCTTTCCCTTTTTAAAGTTTAGATTATTTTATCGACCGCAATGCAAAGAAGAAATAAAATACRTGTGGTTTTGCAATCAAAGTCCTTGCAGGGAGCGGTTACAGGGAGTGCTGCAGACGAATTAAACTSTAATTAATGGCTGCTCTAGCCTGGGAGGAGCCCAGGGCATCTTTAGAGATCTCTGTTGCCTCAGCTCAGTGTGGGCTGCTGGCAGAAAGATTTCTGCCAGGGAAGCCCAGCCTGGTGGTGCTCACTGTGACACAGTGGTCTGTGGTTTTGGAAATCTCCAATTTGAGGCTGCATCTTCAATTGCTGTTAGGTGAAGTAGAGGAAGAAGAAGGTGGAGGAGAGGCTGGTTTCCAGTTTCTTACATTTCAAAGCGCATCGAATCCCCACCCCTCCAAAGAAAACTAAACTGATGGGTTTCCTGGGATGCTGAGCATCCGCTTCTCCAAATTCTGGATTTCTTGCTCATTCTTTCCTAGAGGAAGACTCCAGCCAAAGGTAGTTGGGAGAAGTGGGAGAGGCAGTGTTTAAATCCAAGAATAGCAGTGGAAATTGTTTAGATTTTCCCTAAGGGTTGTGGCAGTGGGTTCAGGGGCAGTGCTGAGCTGCACTCCTGAGCCTGGGCTGGGCTGTGCTGCCACTGGGAATGTGACCTTAATGGCCCTGTGGCCTTTGGGGTGCTGGAACTGCAGGAGAAGCATTGCTATGGGCAAGAGTTATGAAAGTTAGGTATTTAATGTTTTACTTGAAATACTGACATGAAATAGGGAAATAGGGAATGGCAGCTGCGGTGTGGGCAGAGGGAATTGGTGAGTGGGGTTAGAGCCCATGTTTGCAGCAGGGCCAGGGCTGCTCTGCTCTGTGCTGAGCCTTGGCAGAGCACAGTCCTAACACATTTCTCACACATCCCTCTTGGTAACGTGCTGGATAGAGCTGTTTGTGATGCTGCTGCTGGCCAGGAGTTCAGCTGTTCACATTGCATAGGTGTGTAAGGAAATGCTCCTGAGCCTTCSTGACTGCTGGGGTGGGAATAACTCTCCTTTCCTTCCACCTCCCAGGCTGAAACTCTCGAATGAGGAGATCAAACGAGCGATTTTGACAATGGATGAGCAGGAGGACCTCCCAAAAGACATGCTGGAACAGGTGGGATACGTGTCTCGTGCTCCTTTGTGGTTGCCTCATGCTGAGACGATGCTGTGCAAAGCACTCGGGACCAAAGTGCGGCTTTGAGTGTGTCAGGCCCCAAATTATTTACCAACCACATGTTGAAAAACCACCCAGGTGAGCTGGTGCAGCAGGAAAGCAGCTCGGTTGTGGCATCAGTGCTGGGAGCAGCGTGGTCCCCACCAGCCATTCCTCTACCCAGGTCTGCCCTGGGTCTCGAGGTGGGGCCATTTCCCCTTTCTGTGGCTGCAGCTCGAAGTTTGTGCTCAGTGGTGCTTTATTTTTGTAAGTTTAGACAGCATTTGTGGAATCCTCAAAAGGGGAATCCCATTTCTCACCCCCTCTGAGTCTTTTTTATTATTCACCTGTTCTTAAAGCTGAGGTGGTAATTGCACTGTGAGCAGAGACGTGGGAGGTTTCATCGCACCAAATTTCCATCTGCTAATAAGTAGAATTGCAGCAAATGGAAGTCCCTGACTGACATCTCCTCTGGCAGAGCTGATGTTGAAACCTCCTTGGAGCAGACWTAGTGCATCTGTTGTAAAAGCAGAGTGATGGCAGGGCAGAGGCGAGAGGCACTGATGTSATGGAGTAATGTGAGGAAGATACAGGGACAGCAATAACGCCTGGGGGTCACTGTCTGTACACGCTGGCAAGGGGGTAAATCCTGGGAAATAAATCACTTTTCAACTCCTGAAAAAGTGTGCATGGACCTCATGTCCACTCTTGTGCTTTCTCTTGTTTAGCTCTTGAAGTTTGTTCCTGAAAAGGGTGACATTGACCTGCTGGAAGARCACAAGCACGAGCTGGACCGCATGGCCAAGGCTGACCGGTTCCTCTTCGAAATGAGCAGGTTGGTGGCTTAGGGGACACCCTTTGGCCAGGGGCTGCACAGGCTGGTGGGGAGGTGGCTGTCTCATGGAGCCTGCTTGGGAAATAAGCCCTTCCTACTGTTCTTCACGTGAAGAAATGAGTGAGCCAAGCGGATGGGAGGGCAAGCAAGGTGCTCCCAGTCATGGGATCATTTGTGATGCTGYGCTCCCAAAGTCAGGGATGTGCTCCCAAGCAGCAGCTCGACAGAGCAGGGGAGAGGGATGGGAGATGATTCTCCTTCCCACATCATAGCCTGACACATTTTTCCTCTCATTCAGGRAAAAGWTTTAGGAGTGATTGTGATGRTTCTGGGTTGATGGTTGGACTAGATAATCTTGAATGTCTTCTAACCCTGATGATTCTGAGATTCTGTGAGCTAACCTGGTCTATTGGAAGGTGTCCCTACAGGGCAGAGGGGTGGCAACTAAATGATCTTTCAATCCCTTCCAACCCAAACCATTCTGTGGTTCATTGTGGCCCAGGTGGGAAGTGCTGTTTGAATGGTAACACAGTGCTCCTTTCCCCTTCATCCTAATGAATATTCAAACCCTGATGTATGTACATTTTGCCCTGCTGTGCAGATGAGTCCCACTCCTCACCTCAGGACTGACTGATCCCTAGGGCTCCTGAGACTATGTGAGACTGAAAGGAAATGTCATTTCTTCCTGCTCCTGGTAGCAATAATTTAAGACTTAGGAGTTTTCAGGGATGAATAACCTTATCTATTGCATGCACATCCTCTAGAGGTGCCGGGTTAAAATCTTGAAGCTCCTTATTTAAATTGAACTGAGCATTGAGCTCTTTGAATTTCTTAGCTGAACTTCAAGCAAGTCACTTGTTGGCAAGGTCAGTGAGTTTTACAATTTGAGATTGCACCGGGAGATCAAAAATAGAAATGCTCCCGTCCTCCCTGAGCAACGCACCGCTGAACACTGGGGCGATGCACCGTGTGCTTGCTGAGTGTCAACGACAGGCAGGATGGAGCTGTGAAGTTCAGAGCTGAGCCCTCAGGGCTTAGTGATGCTCAGAATTAGCTTTTCTATCACAGGTCACCTTTCTTCTTCACAGACTCTCGCCCAAGTGTCGCTCCCTTGCCTTCATCCTTTGGAAAGCACAATGTGCTGATGCAAATGTTTTCCTTGATTTCCAGCAYGGCTTTTTAATTTGCCTTGTGGTCTGTAACCGAGTGTGATGTCTTTGTCACCTCTGATTAGTACAACAGCGTGGCTCATGGCCCTGTGTGTGAGCACCTCTCCCATGGGTCCTCAGTCCAAGTGACTCAAATCAGACTGCCATGTGCATACAAGTGAGATCCTGTTTAGCATGAACACAACTGACACGAGCAGAGCCATCCCTGACTTACCCAGGAAAGGGGCTTTCCGTTCCAGACCATAATTTTGATGATCAGAAGGTCTGGTTTCATTAGTTCTGGTCTTGGTGAGTCTTTCTCCAGCTGCAGCTCATCACAAAGCCATGAGGAGCCCAGACCTCATCAGCACCTTTGCTCAGGAGTGGTTGTGAAAGAACTGTTTGTTCATACCAAGAGGGTGTAAAAATCCACTTGTTGAACCTGCTGAGTTAAGGATAGGCTTAAGCATGTGCTTAAGAACCCACTGGGATCCACCCCAGGACAGCTGGAGCTTCAGTTGTCATTTTTTCCCATCCCACTACAGTTTCAGGGACAAAAGGGGTCATTATTTTTTAATCATTATGGCTCAAGCGTGCTTTGTAAGCACAGCTGTGAGCAGTGGAGCAACAGAGCTCTGCCTGGAGCAAGGAAAACTCAACCTGCACCTTGTTGTTGTTTTCCAGGATAAACCATTATCAGCAGAGGCTGCAGTCCCTCTACTTCAAGAAGAAGTTTGCAGAGAGAGTTGCAGAGGTCAAACCCAAGGTGGAAGGCAAGTGACCAGAGCTGCTAAGGGACTCTGTGCCAGCACAGGGATTGCTCACAGGAGGAGCATCCTCTGTGCCAGGATGAGCCTGGTCCACACGGAGGTGACAGTGACACAAGGGAAGGGAAGGAGCTGGTGGTCACTCTTTGGGGGCACTGAAGGGAGGAAAAGGGGACTGGTATGCTGTGTGGCAGGGAATAACTCCCCCTCTCTGCTTTCAGCCATCCGTGCTGGCTCCAAGGCYGTGCTGCAGAGCAGCAGCCTCCAGCAGCTCCTGGAGGTGGTGCTGGCTTTTGGGAACTACATGAACAAGGGCCAGAGGGGCAACGCCTTTGGCTTCAAGATCTCCAGCCTCAACAAGATCGCTGACACCAAGTCCAGCATTGACAAGTGAGCAGCCCCTCCCTTTTTACCATCCACAGCCCCAGGGGTGTSRGGGGATGGAGGGGTCACAGCATTTCCTCTGGACATGGGTAGGTGGGAGCAGTCCCCTCCTCCTGCTGCCCAGTTTGGCACATCCAGTGATGTGAATGGGCACCTTTTGAGCAGGACAGCATTTAAGGGAAGCCAGGCAGCAGATCAGCACAAGGATTGATGGGGGCTTTCCTTCCTGGGCTGGCTAAACTGCAGCMAAGGCTGATTAGGAGGATCATCTTYCAAATGCTTCTAAAGCCCCTTCGAAGAAGCCAAGAGCCAGAGAAAAGGTTTGCCATGGGAAACCATGGGAACCCCCTCTGCCACTGTCCCATGCTGCTGCAGCCATTGCCTGGTTTGCTCTGCCCTGCTGAGCTCTGTTCACAGTGACAGGAGCTGGGTCAGGTCTCAAACCTGCCTGGTGTCATCCATCAGTACAGACAGTRGAGGACAAGAGCAGTGATGCTCAGGTCATCTCCCCTGGGTTCCTCCTGTGAAGGACCATTCCTTGCAGGGACCAGGCTGTTCTGCACTGTGGCTGTGCATGAGACAGACCCATCCTACAGCCCCGGAGAGGGAGGGTGAATCCTCAAATAGTTCATTACCAACGCTGGGAATTAACCAGGTTTTTAACTGAACTATGAGCTCCCCAAGATGCTGCCACACTGACCTCCCTGCTCCTYTCTCCTAGGAACATCACCCTGCTGCACTATCTCATCACTGTTGTGGAGAAGAAATATCCCAAAGTCCTCCGCCTGCATGAGGAGCTGCGAGACATCCCGCAGGCAGCCAAAGTCAAGTAAGCAGGGATTGAGGTGGCACTCAGGGAGCACTGGGAGCACCTCTCTCCTCATCTCAGACTGCTTTTCCATGTCACCCCAKCCCAGCTCACCCTCCTGGCCAGATCCTGGCTGCTGGGCTGTGTCCCTTGCCRTGGCCACGCTGGCCCAGAGCAGCCCAGGACTCAGTAGCAAACATCACCTGGTGGCTTTAAATCATAGCCCTKGCAGCAAAGGCTCTAAACTTCAGAGCTGGAGGAAGGAGAGCTGCTTGGAGCAGCCGCTTCCTGTTGTTATCTCACCGCAGAGGCATTTAATTAATTTCTAATGGTGCGTTAAGTAATCTGGGAGGAAGCGGCTGCGGTGTGGCTGCAGATAAAGGGCAGCTGTTTATCCTCATGTGCCAGGGAGGCTCTGCCTGCAGCACAGGCAGGACCAGGCAGCTGTGCAAGGGGCTCACCTGCATCCAGATCCTGCCTGCCCCTCGTTTCACCACCAACATGCAGCTTCTGGGGTTTGCAACCAGCTTTTTAACCCTGCTTGGTGAGCTGTTAGGAACAGCCTGCCCCAGTTCAGCAAAGCTCTTAAACACAGGCTGAGCCTTTAAGTGCAGGAGGAATCTGCTGTTGCCTGCAAAGCCCTCAAGTATGTGCTGAAGTACCTCTGAAATCAATGAGGCTCTGTTTWGGTTTTAAATTCCAGCAGGAGCTTATGGGCTTTGATGCTTCAGGGATGTGAGCAGCAAAGAGCACACATTTCTGCAACCCCAGTGCATGTTTGTGTTAGCTGTGGACATGAAAAGGGGCTGAAACTGCACCTCTTTAGAGAGGGTGCACTTGGAACAGGTTACCCAGAGAAGTTGTGGATGCCCTYTCCCTGGCAGTGTTCCAGGCCAGGTTGGATGGAGCTTGGGGCACCCAGGGATAGTGGAAGGTGTCCCTGTCCTTGTCAGGGGGGTTGGAACTGGGTGATCTTTAGGATCCCTGCCAACCCAGACCATTCCATGACTCTGTGAAATACACACAGAGTTTACAGTGGCTCAAGGGCTTTTCCAAATTTCAGAGGTCTCTTGTTGCAGTGGTGGTTCCCAAGGAAGGTGTGTACTGGACAAAACAAGCATCCTCATGTATAAAATGTAAAATAATTATTAGCCATTGGGATTAAACATAGTGATGGGATAAATGTTGGTGTGTGAGGAAGAGTGTTCTTCCCCCAGAGGGTGGCTGGRCACTGGAAMAGGCTCCCCAGGGCARTGGTCACAGAACCAGCCTGRSAGAGATCAAGGARTGTTTRGACAACAGGCACAGGGTGTGATTCTTGGGGCTGTCCTGTGCAGGGCCAGGAGCTGGACTCAGAATCCTTCCAGATCAGGATATTCCATGGCTCTGTGGGTGTTTGGTGCTTGGTTTGCAGGCATCAGCTGAGGGCAGGGCTGGGCAGGACACACTCTCTGCAGGCAGAGACTCCACTTTCCCATGCTCCAGGATCTGCAGCTGCTGCACAGACACACGGATGGGAAAGAAAATTCCTGCACAGAGGGTTTCTTTACCCCTCTAAACTTTATCATTTCGCTCTAAACTGGACACCATATGTGGTAGTTGGGTTTGGTCCAATCTAGAGCAAAACCAAAAAGTCTCTAAAGCTCTGGAAAGCCCTGAATTCCCCCAGCCCTGCAGCTGTGAAGCAGAAATTGCCGCCTCTGTCAATCCCACCACTCGTAATGAACTGCTGGAGCACAGGGCTCCCAAAGCTGCATTTTCCCAGAGTAAACCTGCCAGGAATGCTTGCCCCGTGACCTGGTGTCAGCATTTCCAGGGACCCCAGGCCTCGCACAGACACCCCTGGAAAGGCATCAAGCCTGTGGTCACCGAGGCTTTGTGAGAAAGCTTCCCCTCAGACAGAGTGGTAGAAACCCGTAAGCACTTGAATTTGAAGCTCATCAGGGGCTTGAGCCTTGTGTAAACAAAGGCAGCGCCAGACTGGTGATTTATTTTTATTTCTCTATATTTGGGCTGTCTCCCTTTGTGAAAGCCTCGCTGCTCGGAAGGATGCTTTGCCTGGTGTTCACCCAACCGTGGTATCCTGAAAAATTGTCCTCTGGGACAGCAATCCCATCCACTGCTGGAGCTGGAGAGAAATCTGTGCCCAGCAAGGCCCTCTGCTGAGCCCTCCTTTCGTTTGGAGAGGACTGGAGGGTGCTGAGGCTGCTAAACCTGYGCAGTCCCCTTGATTAAAAATACAGAAAAATGCTTTGCTTTAAAACAAGCAGCTGCATCTCCTTTGAGATGGTCCCAGTTTAGGGGCTGTCAGCCTGATGTGCTGCTCAAGACACTGATCTGCAAAAAGGAGGCAATGTAGCAAGGTTGGGGTCTTTTCAGTGGGAAAACACGGTCAGGTTGGGCAGGGAACTGTAGAATTTGCTGGGCAAGGCTGAAAACTCACATCCTGCTATTTCCAACAGCATGACAGAGCTGGAGAAAGAAATAAACACTCTGAGAAGCGGCCTGAGAGCAGTGGAGACTGTAAGTATTAYTTAAATCAAGTATATTCCAGCCTGGCTCAGATCAGCATGTCATCCCTCCTTGGGGAGGCAGGCGAGGGAGCTCCCAGYGAAGCTGCTTTTATCTCACATCCTGGGGATCTGTTTGCCTTTCCTTCCTGCCCTGCACGTGTGTCTGTCCTCTCAGGGCTGTTTTGGCACTGAAGTTACCATGGTGTTCAGGCACATGCATGGTTTATGTCTGATAGATCAGGGGAGGCTGAGTAAGCAGTGATGATGCCCACAGAGGACCTGTGATGTGCACAGGGCTCTTCCCTGGCTGTAAAACTGCAGAGTGCTGGCGAGCACTGCTGCAGCACAGCTGGAGGGGTGATGAAATGGTGGAGATATCCCAAAGGACTCAGTGTCTTGCTAAATTACCCTGTTTCCGTGAGCTTTTCTGCAGGATTTGGCTTAAAGCTTACTTCAGGTGGTGTAAAATGGGGTAATCTGGGGTGTCATGAAGCAGCAGTGGTGGTGCTGGCAATACCCCAACTGCTGCAGCCACCCTCCCAATGGCACTACCAGGCTGATGGCCTTTGTGTCCCTCAGCAGATTTACCCAGATTTACCTTTTTTTACCCTGTAGGAGCTGGACTTCCAGAAGTCTCAGGTTCAGAGGGCAGGTGACAAGTTTGTGTCTGTCGTCAGCCAGTTCATCACGTTGGCCAGCTTCAGCTTCTCGGACGTTGAAGATCTCCTGATGGAAGCAAAAGAGCTGGTAAGGCCCCCAATGTCCTTGAGATCTGAGCAGCTTTCCAGCCTCACCTCCTTCTCCCTGGGTGTGCCCGTGTCCAGCTGGTTCTGTCCTTCTGCCCCATGCCTGGGCATTGTGATGGACTTTCCTGAGCCCTTTTGGACTGTTGATGGTGACCTGGCAAATACCTCTGGCACAAGTTAAGGATGTGGGAATGGTAATAAATGCTCTGCAAACCATATCATCTTCTGCTGACTTGGCTGAATCTGGGGAAAAAGCTCTGGTTGTGGTCCCCAGTGTCCATGGAACTCCACTCTGAAGCAATTTCCAGCTGTTCCCATGGTTTTTGGGTGGGATGGGCTGTGTGGAGCAGTCCAGCTCTTTGCCTTTTAAACACATGTCCACATTCAAACTGTGTTTCTGTTTTCTCTTATGCAAACAGAAACATSCCTGTTTTATAAACTTTATATCACATGGGGACAACATTTTCAGCCTTTCCTCCCACACCAGAATCTCTTGTAACGTGGGAGAGTATTTTAACATCTTGATTAAAATCTGCAAGATTAACCTCAATTAGATTGACTTATTTAGTGGCACCTCTCAGATTCCTCCCTGCATCTTGAAGTGTTAAGTCTCTTAAGTAAACAAAGAAATAAAAATGCATTAAATGTCTTTTGAAGAGCCTGGGGCACCCCTGCAAATAAAACTAAATCATACAGGCAGGCTTTAAAAACGTTCCTCTTGGTCTACCCTGTGAAATCAAAGCAACTAATAAATCTGTTGGTGCTTTGATTTTGTTTTTCTTTTCTTTTGAGCTTGCTTATCTCCAGAATGGGCCTTCACAACTTTAACAAACTTTCTGTGCACAAAGAGTCTCCTTCAGGCTGGAAGTGAGAACAAAGAGTGTCAGTCCCAAGGACAACTCAGGGGCTGCTTGGGGACCGGGACACGTTGGCAGATTGTGGGTGTCCTGTCCTGACCTCTGCTATGGCCTCATTCGACTCCCTCGCATTAATGGTGTGCAAACAGCACAAGAGGCCGGAAAACTCCCTATTTCCCTGCCCAGGGCTGTGCCTGAGCCTGGGCAGAAATCTCTTTTAGAAGTTTCACCAACACATTTGGTTTCAATAGCAGAGCATGTGGCAGTGATAAATAAKACCCCAAAAATACTTCAAAGAAAAACTTAAAAGTGCAAGTTTCCCTTCCCCTGCCGTGTTTACTATTAGTTTTATGTCTTTGGTCCCACAATATTTTRCTTCCTCGTTTTTACTGCTTCTTAGTTAATAAAGTGGAGCAGGGGCAGGGGAGGCTCAGCAGAGCCAGGAGTGAGATGGGGAGAGGGGGCTTGAGAGTGATCTTGCAGGGCAGCAGGTAACACAGCAGGTGATTTATTTCAGGTTTTAGTSAAGGCTTCACAAGGCACAGCCCTGCTGTCTGCCATGGCTGCAGGATGTTGAAGGTTTTGTCAGTGCAGTGRGTTTATCCAAGGCTGATGCAGCCCTGTCTTCTCTCCTCAGTTTTCCAAGGCRGTGAAGCACTTTGGAGAAGATACAGACAAAATGCAGCCTGATGAATTCTTCGGCATCTTTGACCAGTTCCTTCAAGCYGTGACCGAGGCCAAGCAGGAGAATGAGAACATGAGGAAGAGGAAGGAGGAGGAGGAGCGCCGGGCACGCATGGAGGCACAGGTGAGCAGGCACCGGTGAGTCCAGCACTCCCCCAGGACACCTGGGAGTGGCAACCATGGCATGATGTCCCCATGGTGGTCACAGTGGCACGGGCAGCACTGAAGACTGGGAAGGGAGCTTCTGTGTTCTTAAACCCACTGACTTTCACTTTTGATTAGTTAATTAGCTAATGACCTTGGGTTGGTGAGCTCTTGGAGCTGCAATGTGCAGCAGAACTGGTGCTCTCTCAGGGCTGCTGTGACCCATGAGCAGCAGGCCATGGGTTCTATCATAGAATCTCAGAGTCGTAGAATRGTTKGGATTGGAAGGAACCTAWTTTASTTCCCATCCCCCTGTCAYAAAAAACCTTCCACYAGACCAGGTTGCTCCAAGCCCCATCCAGCCCRGCCYTGGACACTTCCAGAGCTGGGGTRTATCAATAACTTCCATAACCACAGYTCTCATGTGCTAAACATGGGCTGGGAAGCCACTCTTGTTCCATGAGTTTGGGGATCACCGTGTTGGGCACCCCCATGAGCTTCTGTGTGAGACTGAGCTGTCTTCTTTCCCCCCGCCACCGTGACCTGCAGCTGAAGGAGCAGCGGGAGCGCGAGCGCAAGGCGAGGAAGGCGAAGGAGACCGGGGAGGAGAGCGGCGAGTTCGATGACCTGGTGTCCGCCCTGCGCTCGGGCGAAGTCTTYGACAAGGACCTGACCAAGCTGAAGCGCAACCGCAAGCGCATCACCAACCAGCTGGCGGAGAGCGGCCGCGAGAGGCCCGTCACCAAGCTCAACTTCTGAGAGACAAACTGACAGCAAAACCCAGCAAAAGACACGCGGGTCAGTCTTTCTCAAGTGGCTGTGGTTGGTTGTTTTTTTTTTGTTTCCATGACACTGCCTTGCGATTCGAAGCTGAACAGTGGCGCGCTCTTTGTCCCTGCGGGCGAGTGTGCGTGTGTGTATATACTGTGTATATAGTCGGGTCGGGGGTGTGGAGGGAGGTGCGTGGGCAGCTCGCCGTGGTGAGTGCCAGCACTGCCCCCTCCCCACTCCAAAAAGTAGTTCTCCCCATGCACAAGCACAATGCCACGTCCGTGGAGCAAGAGAGGACCCAACCCCGAGCCGCCGGCCGTCCCTGTGGCCCCGAAGCCAGCGGGAAGCTGCCTCCTGCTGCTCTCCTGCTCAGAACCCCCCGGGCCATTTGCAGGGGACACCTGGCACAAAAGCCGAGTGGTTTAAAGAAGAAAAGAAAAAGAAAGCAAAGTTGACTGAACTTTATTCCATTGTTTGTTTGTTTGTTTGTTTTCTCTCATTGTTGTGATTRTTCTGAGAAACTCACAGATCTGTGCGTTGGCGCTGGATCCCGAGCTCRGCGCCACGGGCGCTCATGGTGATGCTCTTTCCGTCATCCTTGGGAAACGCTCTTTTTCCTCCTGCTGCCACCTTGCTAAAGGATAAACTTGACCCCAAAGTGCTTCTTGCTGTAATGCCACACTGATGTATTTATACTTTTGCAATGTTTTCTGGCCCAAGACGGTGGGAAAGGTTCRGTTCTCGGAGGAGACGAAGAGCATAAACTTTCGCGTTGTAACTTTTGTTCTTGCTTTCTGTTCAATGGGACAAACTGTATCCTCTGTCGAGGTGGGTCAGGACCAAAGGTCTCTGAAATACAAAGGGGTTGGGGTAAAACCCARCAGCTTTCACCCACCTTCTTTTCCTTTTTCTTTCTCAGACACACAGAAGCAGCGATGCCAAGAAACACTTGTCTCTTAGCCAGGTCCTTTTTTTGACTGGTTTGATGTTCATTGTCATTGCGAATTTGTAAGCAGAACTACCTGTCAAATGTCAGTCCAAAAAAAAAAAATTTTGACTGGTTTGATGTTCATTGTCATTGCGAATTTGTAAGCAGAACTACCTGTCAAATGTCAGTCCAAAAAAAAAAAAGACAAAAAAAAGAAAAAAAAAACAATAATAAAAGTAATTCAGAGCTCTCAGGGAGTAATAATTTAAGGGTTTAGAAAATTAAGAATTGGAGAATAAAAAATAACCACCATTAACATATTAACATTTCTATTCTTAAATTATGCTGAATATATAGAGGACTGTTTCTTTTTACTCTTATTTATTTGTGGTGTGTTTTTTAAGAAAGCAAAACAAATCCTTTTTATACCACCAATACTTTTGTGATCTTTTTTTTTTGTTTGTTTGTTCGTTCTTTTTCCTGTGGAGAGATGAGTTTGTCCCTGTTGCACTAGATATTAACACTATTTGAAATAAGGTTGGTTGTTCTTTTTTTTTTTTTTGTCAGATAATCGGTATTACTGGTGGGGTATGGGATGTCAGTTAACTATATGTACTGTATAGCAAAAGTGCTGTTTAAACTAATTTGTATAAAAAAAAAAAGATTCTAAGCACCTGAAGGCCATGGGGTCTGCGTGCTGAGTGAAAGCTGTGAAATCTCTCTCGAAGCAGAGTTGTCAAGAGCTGTGGTTTTACCATTTTGTTCTTTTCTTCATTGCAATGTTTAACGCACTGTAGATTTAAAAAAAAAAGAAAAGAAAAAGGACAAAAAAAAGACTTTCTGAGTAGCATTTAAAGCAGTAATAAATAAAGCAGGTAAGCGCAAAAATAAAGTCCAGCACCTCGTACCCAAGCAGCTKCAAAACCTGCAGATTATGTTCAAAGGTGGAGTTAAGCACTTTGCTTTAAGAAGGAGGGGGAAATAAAGACAAAAGGTAATGATAATACTATTCCTTAACTAAAGTGCCTCTATTTATATTTTTTATTTATGGCTGAAAAAAATGGGGCTGATACAATTGAGGGAACGGACTATGGGGGGAATTGAAAATATGTAAAAATAAGAAGGAACAAAAAAAGGTTAAAAAAAAAAAAGTTTGGCTTCTGAAGGTTTAAGGAATGGTTGGTCACACGTGTTTAATTGGACAGGTGGTGGGGGTCAGAAAGGGTGATCTCCTCCCGGGGCCCCTGGGTGCCCACACCCACCCCGGCTCCTGCCTCTGCAACCCCAGTGCCACATCAGGACCTTTCCTGACAGATTTCCTCTTGCCCTTCCAAACCTCTTGGGTTGKTTTTTTTTTTTWAATTGTTTTACAACAGCCTGATTACCAGGCTGACTTTGCCATTTCTTTGTTTTCTTTCAAAAAAAAAAATAGAAAAAAGAAAAAAATATTATATCTCTATAAATAAATACAAAGGCTGTGTGCAGGTAATTCCATGTGCCATTGTCGAAAACTACTTTTAGATTGGTGCTGGTGTAAGTAGCCATTCTTTTCTCTTGGGTGTGTATTTTAAAGATGATTTTTTTTTTAATAATGCCAAAAACAAAACAAAAAAATCCATAATAATTTGTAAACGAAAGTTTATGTCTTGGACCTTATTAGCTTCGTAGTGGCTAAGGTAGTCTGTTAGGTGCAAGGATGTTAGTTGTTCTAGCTAGTGGGAAATGCTGTGTAATGTTATGAGACTGTACATTTTCTAAGATGGCAATATGCAATAAAGCAAAACGATTTCGGTGAGTGTACATGGCAGAGGTGTGAGTTATTTTTTAGGGGGAAAAACGGGTTATTTAGGAATTGAGGCAGGTGTTAAAAAAGAGGCTCTCGAGGGTTGTTCTTTTTTTGGGTGTGTTTGTAGGCATTTCTGGGGTTGACTGATGACCCCTTCACCCTCTCCCTGGGTGCTGGGTTTTATGAGGTCAGGGTTTTTCCATCCTCCAGGGTTGCAGCATCCTCACAGTCACCCACATGTGGGTTCTGAAAAGCCTCCCAGTTGGTGAGGTGTTCGTTTCTCCACGTTTTGTTGTTGCTGCTGTCTGTTACCATCGTGGTGGGAACTTTTCCAAAAGCCCACGGGGGTTTTTCCAGGATCCTGCATTGAGGCAGGATCCCAGTTTTGCATCCTGGGATTAGATCACATCTCTTTTTTCAGGAGTAATGCTGGCTGGGCTGGCCATTGTGCCTCTAGCAAGCCTATCTTGTGATATTTCCTTGGCAGTATCCCAAAATCCTCCTGGCCTATTCCTGCTCTCCTTTGCCTTTCCCAGACAACTTCCCATCCAGCTCGGTGTTATTTTTTTTTTCCAACACTCCTGGGTGTTTTTGCATCACCCAACACTCCCAGACCCCACTGCTTGTCCAGTGGGAACATCTGCATTGTGCTCTGAGCCATACACTTCCCCCYTTGGATTGGGGCTGGCAGGGAGCACAGCTCCCATCACCACCCCTGTGGGCTGGTGATGCCATGGGAAAGCAGCCCAGGGCCGGGTGGTGACAGCACCCAAGGAAAACRGGAATGGCTTCAGCTGCTCTTCCCATCGTAAATCCCCAGCATGGGGCTGATCCGGGTTTGTCCATAAATAGATGTGAACAAGCTGGCCAAACCCCACAACTTGAAGAGGACCTGAAGTTTTAATTTATGGCAGATTGCAGTTTCCTGGGCTGCACCATTGTGTGACACAGGATGGTCCCCAGGATGGGGACAGGGTGGCAGAGCAAGGTCAGGGTGGAGCTTTTTATTCAACCAAGATACTTGAGGGAAAAGAAAAACTAGTAACTTGCAAGATTCCTAGCCTTCAAACTCTTCCACGTGGCTGGATTAGCAGCATCTGTGACTTAAGAATTTAAATTTCAGATAAAATGTTTGTCCCCCCTGGAGGAAAGGGGACTGGGGTGGACACTCTGCTGGACTGGCTGGCTGGGTTTTCACCTGGAAAAAGGCTCCTGTGCCCCAAATCCTGGCTGTTCCCTCCAGGTACAGCCATGACCCAGCACTGGATGATCCAAACCTGCCCAAACCCGCTGGTGCCAGGGAAGCTCCAGGGCACGGTGCTCCCGGAGGAATTGTCCCATGGGGCCACCCGGGTTGGTGGCACCAAACCTGCTGAGCCAGCCCCGGCTGTGTTCCTCTCCAGCCCGGCAGCTTTCCCTGTTCTGGAGCAACTGGGAGTCCCAGAGGAGCCAGGAGTGCCAGGTGTCACCTCCCGAACTCAGCCTGTTATTCCTGGCACCGTGCCTGGCTTGGAAAAGATGAGTCAAGGTTTTGGGGCGCTGGCCTGGTGTGGGCACAGCACTGCAGRCACACCCGGATCCCATCCCACTGCCACTCTGTGCCACTGGCAGGAGCTGGCTGGACTCCTGGACTGTTTGTTTAGTCCCAAGAAAGGGGACAGTGGGCCCAATGGATCTGTCAGATTTTGATATCCCTGCTGTAGACCCTCGGAAAAGGGAAGCAAAGCAGGGACGTTGCCAGCTCTGCTCCTACCAGTGCTGCAGCTGGACCTGGCTCTGTCCCCACTTCCAGCACCCCACTGCCAGCTCAAGCAGATGATCTGGGGTAAAACTGCACTTTGCCATCATCACTATCTCACACAGCCCAATCAAATCTGCAGTCCCTGTGCAGGGCTGAGTGCCACAGGAACAGGCACAAGTCTGATGAGGAGCTGGAGGGGCTCAGCCTGGAGTAAAGGAGGCTCTGGGGGGACCTTGCTCTCTAAAACTCCCTGAAGGGAGGTTGTAACCAGGTGGATGTTGGTTTCTTCTCCAGATGACAACAGCAGGGCCAGATGAAAATTCCTCAAGTTGCACCAAAGGAAGTGTAAATTGGATATTAAGGAAAAATTCTTGACAGAAAGAGTGGTCAGGCACTGGCACAGGCTGCCCAAGGAGGTGGTGGAGTCACCATCCCTGGAGGTATCTAAAAGCCATGTGGATGGGGCATTTGGAGACACRGTTTAGTGGTGGGCTTGGCAGTGCTGGGGGAATGTTGGACTCAATGGTTTTAGAGATCTTTTCCAACCTAAACGGTTCTGCAATTCCAGACAATTCTGTGATTCTGTTTCTCAACCCCCACAAAAGCTGTCCTCTTGGTGAACACATTCTTTGAGCTTTGCTTCTGCGGGAGACAGGAGAGGCCAAGCTGACACAAAGGTGATGGATGCAGCAGGGAGGTGATGAGCCCCCATCTCCATCCCATCTCCTGCAGAAAATCCTGCAGGCATCTCTCCTATGAGCTCTCTCCCTGGCATTGCTCAGGGTTCTWCAATGGATGCATGTGAAAAGGAGAGTTCTCTGAACTAGAAATGCTCTGATCTGAAACCTCTGAGCATTTTGTATCATTTTTAGCCTTAAACCAGGCTTGATGACAGTGTTCAGGTAAGCCAGGGAGAAAATGCCACCCCACCAGAGCCTCAGCAAAGGCTGAGGAAAGTGCCATCTGCTGGTACTTTCCATCTTCAGCATTTTAGAGCTGTCAAGCATAAAACAGATTCCGCTTCTTGTTTTCCTCTGTGACCTCTGCTGTTGTCTGAGAAGTTCTCATGCTAAATTTTCTTTGTGTGTTTCCCCCAGCATATCTGAGGAAGGCTGATTTTAATTCTCTTCATTGTAATCCCAGTCAAACAGACAAAGGTCACAGTCTGTGGCATCTCTGTGACTTCAGGCTATGCCTGACTTTCAGCTTGATGCACTGTGTGCACACGTGCAGGCACCGAAAATGCACGTGTGTGYAAGATAAACGAACTCACAACAGTGTCTTGGGTCATCTCAACTTATTTCCATGGCTTTTGAAATTATCACAGAGTGTCCCATTCCTCTACCATAACCCCAGGGCCTGCCCCAGTGCCAGGGTCTGTGTTGGGAGCCTGTTCCTACCCAGCTTTCTCCCCTTTTTTCATGCACTTTATTGTCACACCTCAATGAAATTGAAATTAAGCTGGAGTTTCCCAGTTCTCAGGCCACCTCTGTGAAGGCAAATCATTGAAATTGCCATTTTTYCATTATTTTCTTTGCTGGCCCATACTTGCTCACGTGTTCTCAGTTCAGAGGTGGCTCTGCAGGAGGG